CCTAATAAAGGAGAAATTTAAAACAGATTGAACAAAAACTATGAAAGTATTTAGTTGATTCTCCGGGTCAGAAAATACTTCAAGTAATGCTCAGGTAATCAGAACTTTTCCGAACAAGTTAACATAGAATAGAAACCCAGCTGAGACGAATGAAATATCCAGTTGTGCTTAGGCGCATGGTTGACGGCAACGGAAAACGGAAAAACTTAACTTTGATAATATTTCTTTTCCTCTAATCCTCAAATCAACACCGCCGATAGCTTTGAAAAATTCTCCGTCTCGCTCATAGTGACTTCAAATATTTCAGCTTTTGAGTACAAACGGTTGAAAGTAGACGTTAAGAACTTTAGCTCTTTTTCCCTTTTAGTGCCTGATAAACGTAAACGTCACTTTGATGGTCTCGCTGCTGAATGTTTTTCTTTTCAATTAGTTGGATTTGGTCGAAGTTCATGTGGAGCAAGTCAAATTTAGCAGGAATTGTGTTGAGGAATGAAATATTTTGGCAGCTATGAACAATTAGAGAACAAAATGATTCAAGAAGCGCGCAAAAACTTAACCATTTCTTTATTCATCATCGGCACTTTCGCTTTCTTTTACTATCTTTCCGCCACTTTCAAATTTTGCCGAGTCATCGCTTTCAGTTTTGCTTTTTCAAACACGTGCTGTTCACATGAAACACGCGGTGAAGACTTCAGAAGGGTTTGAGTTTGTCAGCGTCGAAGCGTTCGTAATCTACATCAATCTCGCCGGTTCCCAACCATACTCTTTCAGTTTTAGCTTCTGTTTTACAGAAGAAAGCTACTCTTTGTTTTATTTACATTTTTCATTATAGAAGAAAGTTATGCTTGTGTTTTGTTGTGATTCCTCGTCATAAAAAATGAATGATCTTTTCACGAAATAATGTACCATAGGGCTATGAAATTTGTTGTCCATCTGCCTTATAACTGGAGCGTTAGTATTGACAGAGAGATAATGATTAAGCTGATTTATACAAACAACGTAGCATAAATAATTACTGGAATTTCATCTAAGACCTGGGTCAACTGAATGATGAATACCACCTGGATTAGCCTGAATATCTCCGAATTACATAAATAAAAAAATTGGGGAATAATCACGTACTCTCACAGCTCTGACAATAACCAAATCTGGTGTGTACATTAACCTGTGGTTTAAAACCTTGCAAGCGAAATTTTACTATGAACAACGTTACTTTGAGAAGTGTTTTTTGGCGACGCGTAAAATTACTTTGAATCATTAATTTGAGGAGAAGAATTAAAGGAGATTGGCGTAGATTTCAAATGAACAACCTGATAGATTATTTAATCGGGAATTTTTCCCCGATGCTAAACCATGACGTACCTAGATATTTATGCCGTTGTATCGCTTTCAAAATCAAATTTACAGCTTGGCTAGAAGAGAGCTATGTAGGCTGAAGGAAACATTTTGAGAAGCCGCTACATGCTCGTCGTAATTTTACATTCAATTATCTAACAGTAGTGTGAAACTTCGAGAATAACCAAAAGCTTATCCATCTGAGTACAAAGTGCTTACATACGCGGGGTAGTTTCAGTTCAATAAACAGTACTAAATAAGCCTCTGCCACGGAGGCTGAAAGATAAATTATCGTTTTCTAATAAACGAATACTTGCCATTCTCTTAAAAGCTCATTACTGGTATAGTTACTGATGATAAATCCTCTTATCCCACTCTCGAAAAGATAAACTCAGAAAAATCCCTCCTGTCCTGTTAGCGGATAAAAAACATTGAGGGGGTGTAATTTCAAATTTTAGTTATCAAACCGGAAGTGAATAATCTAATATAATTTCTTTTCAGACGTGCAATCTAGAGGTGAATGTTGTATTTATTTGTATTATCCGATAGATTTACGCCCTTTTTAAACAGAATTAACTAGAACATGCCAATCACCATTTGGCAAGGTTTTTAAAAATATCTTTTTTTCGTTGCCGTTTCTTTCACATTTTGTATTTATTTAGGAAGCTTGACGCACTTATTATTCTTTGAGCATTTGTTAGCACACTTCAGCGTGATGCTTAAAGAGAATTCAGGGTTTTGTTCTGACTAGTCTCAGAGCCCGGGAGCGACAGGAGACCTTTTTCTCCTTGGGCGACTTAAACAACTGTGTTTTTAATAAGAGATTTTAAAAGCTGATCACTCTAGATTTCTGACACAAAAGCCTTCCGACACACAGTTATTCTTCTAGGGACACAACTTTGGAATTAATGCACACTTTTAGGCATGATTCAATCTCCCTTTTTCATGTGCGCCTATTGAACGGGAAATCCCCTTCTGCGTTGATAGGAAATGGCTTCGGAAAACTACTTTCGCCACCTAAATGTGTTATAAAGAACGTACTTTCGCCGCGTGATTGTGTTATGGAGAAAGTACCCTTTCTGTGTTCGTGTCAAGCTGCTGAATATTCTAAGTTACCCCCTCATCGTTCATTGTACCATGATCATATGAGTGGCTTTTGTCAAAACAAACTTTTGACCTCACACATTCCAGGTTAGACAAACTAGACAAACAGGCGTTTTGCTTACTTTAAGAACTGTATTAGTGGGATTTTACATCACTTAACGAGCGCCGCATAGTCTCAAATTTTGAAATACTTTTGGTGACTGTTTCCTGTGTTCTTGAGCCTAAGTGATAGGCAGAACTTCATCCGATGTTTCATTGGCTTATTGAGGCTTAAATCTTTCCAACTGAAATCTCTGCTTCACGCAAACGGTAGGCGTTCAGTTTTCAACACATTGGAGTTTGAGAATCTCGTAAAGATTTGGGCCTTTCATTAGCCATTCTCAATCAGGGTACCGTGCTTTTCCTTCTTGTTCTGGTACAAGAAGACGAGTGTTGGCTTGGAAGGATAGAAAAACAAAGCAGAGGCAGTGATAAACTGTGAAATAACAAGGATTACTAATTAAAGAAAGGGTTAAAACGGATTGCCAAAAAAAATTAGGCTAACGAATTTAATTTAACGGTAATTTAGATGGCAGATCGAGTTATTGGCGTGATATACTTCATAACAGAAAACTATACCAGTAATCTTGAGCTGCTTGACATAGAGGCGGGCTGGGGGTGTAACCTTCGGGAGACAATAGAAAGGCGGCTGCGAATACAAGGATAATCAAATCGTGCTCGACGTCGTGCGCGTGGTGGAAAATGCATAGAGAGTAGGAGGCACTTTGTGACAAAGCGTAAGTTACTAATTGATCATTGAATGAGTGGTACAAGGATTGGTATGTCTATTCTCTTGATATCAGTTCTTAGAGCTTGTAGTCAATGTCTTTTTGAGATGTGTGTCCTGCGGATACAGAGCTTGTCAGATGAGTTTCACATGTCGTATTGTTGTCGCACGTGAGATTAATAACTTGTGTAACCATACTGGAACTGTTTACCACCTGTTCCAAGATATTCGTAGAATGTTTCACAATCTTTAACAAGATATCTTGATATTCTCTTACAACCACTTCTGATTGAAACACAAGTGTCTTATAAACGTCCGAACATGGAGGAATGTATTGTAATTTATTGAGAACAAGTGATGAATCAAGTGATGAATCAAGTGATGTCGTAGCACAAGAAAGTCCCGACGTTTTCAGAGTCGTTCAATGTAGATTAACATGGAGCAGTCAAACGTTTCAGTGTGTGATTGCGAACTCAGTAAAAATAAACAATTAGAGGAAGCTGATGAAAACAAGAGATATCACCCAATTCTCTCGAACAAGTTAAATTGCTTGGCTAACTTCTTTCAAGCACTATACCAAAATATTTTCAATCTAAAGGGCAATACAAAATATTCTGTGCAGTTCTATTCGAAGAAAACAAAATGAGCCGAGAAGGAACAAGGATTCCCAAGGATGAAGAAGAGGAAACACTAAAAGCAAGTGACGAACTCCAGGGAAAAACAAGGGCATATGTAATAGTAGTACCCCCTCTTCATAACCAAAACTTAATCAATAGACCTTTTGACGCTGGCGCGTCTTTTTCAGTCGTAAATTAGACTTATCCGGACCCAATAGTATTTCAACTATCCTTCTCGATTGTAGCGTTTCATGTTTCGAATGCTTAGGGGCCAGTAGCTCGAATCCGCTCTAGCAATGTCACAATTGTGGTATCCTCGACAACTTGTAGAACACAGTCTAGACAAAAGAATGTAACAAGGTCAACAAGAACACATTTGAAGCGTCAAACTGGTGTCTAAGTATCCTCGGCACTAATTAACTGGACTCGCCAATACCAATATTTGAATGAACTTTTCAATGTTTCACAATGATTTAAAGTTACCACTGGTGAAGAGCCAGTCGCCTCAAAATATCCGGCAACGTCAGAGAAGTGGTCTTACCGACGACGTGTAAAATGCGGTATCGACAAAATTTTGTAATCACGTTGGCTAGAACACGTTCGAGGCGTCAAAATGGTGTCGGAGTATAACAGGGATGTTTCCCCAAGGATATGACGTCAATTAATGCAAGAACTTGATAGTGGATGATCTTACAAAGGGTGGCTTCTGTCATCGAGCATTTGTCATCTCAAAAGGCAGTCTATCCCTTAAAGTTTCCTATGTTTTCTCAGATGATTCTATTGAGACATTTCATAATCGTTAGAAAGTAAAATATTGCGTCTCAATCCAAAACGATTTCTGTACAGATACATACACTATGTATTTATTGCTGCAGTTTATCGCCATTTCGAAATGAGTGCATTAGATACCAGTTGTTTATCCTCTGGAAAGGGCGCTCACCCATTTGTTTTCTTTATTTATCAATAGCTGGTGTTAATTTTCAAACTTGAGTGGTACTTTTCACTTTAAAAACACTCTTCTGAAGTTTCTTTATCCGTCTTACGACAAAGATATTTCTTTTAGTTATGGTATACATTACATATGCCTTGAAATGTTCACTCACGCTGGGGGTGCGAAGCGACTTCTAAGGAAATCGGATGTTATTTAATATCAATTATCACTCATTTGTGTACTACAGGGGTCAACGTTCAACGAACATAAATACCGTGCAAATCCTCAAATCTATCAGTTGCGTATTGGGCTACCTACTGCGAACAACGAAAAGAAGAAAATGGAAGAACTCTACCAAACAGTCAGAGAGCAGATCAAACCAGTTGAAGCCGAGATCCGCGGTGTGATTCCTCCTTGGCTGAACGGGTCCTTGTTACGAAATGGCCCCGCTATGTACGAAGTCGGACCCGAAGCCTACAAGCACTGGTTCGATGGCTTAGGAATGATTCAGAATTTCAAGGTAGAAAATGGCAAAGTGACTTACTGCAGTCGCTACTTACGAAGCCAAGCATTTGTCCGTGCCGAAGCTCGTCGTGGCATCGCTTATGCTGAGTTTGGAACACCATTACCACCCGATCCATGCAAGAATATCTTCGCACGGTTTTTCTCTTACTTCGTGCCGCCCGAACGCACGGACAACTGCTCCATTAACGTCGTCACAATGAACGGCCAAACATACGCAAGCAGTGACTCACCATTCCTAATCGGGTTTGATCCAAGCAGCTTGCAAGCGTTGTCGGAGTACAACATTAGGAGCGATTTCCCAGGTATTTCTAACTCATTTTAAATCATAATTTTAAGGGAACCGCTTATTTTAGAAGAAAAAGGAAGAGAGCCAAAACAAATCAGAATATAACTTTGTTTGGCATTCCTGGAGGAATATAATCCCATGCAGGGAATAGATATTTTCGTCCCACACTAATTATATTTCGGACAGTTCCAGAAACTCACAAAAAACCAAAACAAGGAAATTAACACGATTACGCGTTCCTTGCTCCCGCCCATGACAGCTGTTGGGTGCTGAATTCAGACTGTCACCGCCCAGTGAGATGTTCGCTAGGGTGCGAATCGCGCGCTGAACTTGACAAGATCTTTTGTTTTAGTTTTTGCTGTTTATGTTCGCACTTGAAACTTACTGCATCGGGCGGAAGGCCTTCCAAGCAGCTAAAGAGACTCCTCTGTCGATATCCTAAAGGTGTATTTTTAAATCCGATTACAAAAAACAAAGGAAAACCGTAGTGTGAATTTGTGGAGATTCGCACGAAATATGTGTCTGAGAAAACGTTACCGCATCCAATAACAGGACATTCAACAGAGAAAAAAATCGCGTACATTTTTACCACCTTGAGGGAGAATCGGTAAACTTTTGCTATGTAAAACAGGAAAGTTTAAAAAATCGTCGTCCTGTTTTCTAAAAAAAGTCGTCGAATTTAGGATAAAGTAAGCTAAAAGATGTGGCTTTGTCGAGGGTCTTTTGAGCTCAAGAGAGGTTTTTACAAGTGAACGGTCGTGAGGATAAGGAAAAATATTATTTAATTGTAGCATGTTGAAAATAGGACTTTTCATTTTGACTAAGGATAATAGAGCGAGATAGTTTCTTAGAGATGAATATAAAAAGCAAAATTGACCTTACGTTTCTGAAAAAATGGTTATGTAAAAAAAAAAATGGTTATGTAAGAACACACACCGAGAGAAAGTACTCATTTTATTGATGAGTCATGGTTTCGTTCACGATTTCATCATTTGTAAACTGAGTACATTTTTTTCTCAGATACACTTATTATGTAGCTTGCTATGATTGGATGGGGAGCAAAGATAGCAGATTCATGACAAAGTTGAAATACCTTTTCTTTAATATCCAGCGTTTGTTTGGAAAAGAGATAACAAGAACCTTCAGCTTGGAATGCTGAAAACGTGAACGTTTTCGGAAAAGTATCTCAAGAAGTGACGTTGAAGAGCATGATAGCCGAACTTTAGACCAGCGAGGTCAAGATTCTTTTTACGTAAAAACATATTTGCTGGTCATTTTATCAGTTACAGAAATCACAAGATGAACTCGTGCGTTTTCCATGACAAACCTTGTGCACTGCAAATCGCCGGAAGAAAAATACAATGATCTGATATGATACTATTGGAATTTCACAAGGCAAAACAGGAAAAACTAAAATTCTTCTTTCTCTCTGATACATCAGACAGCACCACTTTCCTGATAAAAATAAGCCAAAGAGGATTTTATGAACTCAGCTCAACAAAAGTCTCTTGATCAAGATGATAGCCTCATATAATACTGCTTGCATTGAGGTTTTCCATAATACTTTTTTTTTTTTTTTTTACTCTGTGGGCGTTTAAGACCGAATGAATGAATTGAATGTAACGAATTGAAAAATATTTTTCGGTCTAGTCCGGTTTATGAGGGAGCTCCTTTAAAAAATTAATTACCTGGCAAAAGTTAGAGACAATTTTTTTTATGCGGACCGAGAACCAAAATTTACATAAAAATTGTTCTTAACATGTGGTCTTAATCTGAGCATGATGACTTATTTTTATAAACGAAAAGTCTGTCAAACTGCTTTATATTTCAACCGTCTGATCTGCAGTTTAAGTCGAGCAGATATAGCTTTTACGCAAAAGAAGAGATTATTACTGTTCTAATTTCTGCGAGTGAAAAAACCTCTGCTCGAAAGCTTTAATGAATGACTCGCTTTTTTCACTTCCGTATTAAAAAAAACGCATTTCCGTTCAACAGACAGCTAGGCTACGAGCCTCAGTAAGTGAAGTAAAACACTGAATTTAGAAGACTTTCCAAACAACAGACTGAACACTGTGAGGTATAATTAACGAGAAGGAAGATTATTTATTTGTTATCGCTTTTGACAACAGAAACCGGAAGGAAACCAAAATTTCGAGAGATTGCTTTCAATAGCATCATTTAATCTTCCTAATAACAGAGCTTAGCTTCACGTGTGGCCAAATAGTTGACTGCTCAGAAAAGCTTGTTTGTTTGATTCTTTGTCTCAGCTTTTGAGCCTGTCCGTCAACGTTTGGCTGAAATTTATAATGAGCGGTTGACAGCTTTTTCACATACAATTGCGTGCAACAATCGTAGAGGACTTTCTGTTTTAAAAACAGTTTGTTTGGTTTGCTGAAAGGCATGTCAGTTTATATCATTCGCGTCTCAGATATCATTTACATTATTGTAGCTCGCTGAGAAAATCTTCCGAAGTCCCTCTACATATTGATCAGCAAGCAGTTTTAGAAATTTTAGGTGTAATACAAGAGTTTTAGGAACTTTTTATGCAGTTTTTATGCAGGTTCGGACTCGCTAGAATTGTGCTTTGATTGACGTCACGCAAACATCAATTCAGTTTTTCCCTCTGAGTTCCTCACTTCTCTTGAGATGAGAATGCACGTCACAAAGATTAAAGGTGTTCTTAGTTTTATGAAATGCGTTTCCTGTCATTTATAAGTGAATGCATCTCATGCTTTCGTCTCAGCTTCCCATCAGACATACGAGGTCGTATAAAAATGACTAGGCTTCGCGCAAATGTACACCTGTTAGTTACATTTGTATGTGAGCGCGCGTTAAACGGTCTTTGAATGGTCGTCGCGAATCTTTGGAGTCTCAAACGGAAACTAAATAATCAGAATTTTTTCATCAACCTGTTAAACGATCTCCGTGAATAAATTGACTCAAACCACATGTCATAATCCGCGGAAAAGTTGATTGATGCCAAGCCCTTACTTTCTATATATTTATTATAAAGGGAGTTAAATCCCAGAATACTGGGGTACTTCCCATGAATTATACGAAATTTCGTGACAATCTTTCACGTGCACGCGAACTTTTGACTTAGTCATGTTTAAAAAAAGACACAATTCTTGGCAAAGTCTTCGTTTCATGCTAGCGATGTACCTAATGATCAATCTTGGCACAAGTGATAATCACTTGTTATCGGAAACGTTTTTTTTTTTTTGGCAAATTGTTCTCTTTTAACAGCAGGAAATTCCTACTTCATACACACGATTGTTTTATTTTATCTCTGACCCTTTTTACTTTAATACTCGTCATCAAAATATTTCCAGCACACCTTGGTGTAAAATAAACATTTCTCTGTCATGTTGAGAGGGCGCAATTTTTTTTTTCTGTGTAATAATTTCAGCTCCAAAGTAATTGGTTCATCAAAATAAAATGGGAAGGAACAATTGATTTCTCCAGGGGTTCATCTTAAAATGCAAGATGTGAATTGCAATTGTCTCGTAAGAACAGAGTTCTTCGCTTAGTTTGGAAGTTCACCGAGGCTAACTGACTTTTCCACCAAAAGAAACTGACGTTAATTGCTGTAACCATAAAACAGTCGATTTTCCTTCCTCTTCGTTGTCTTCCCAGTTCTATTTTTCTTTTTAATTATTGTCATATATTTAACGATCTCTAAATCACCCTGCACCCCTGAAAGAGACTTACCATAATTTCGATAGAGTTTGTTAGCATCTAATCACTCGCTCCAGAAGAAAATTACTGTAGATGCAGTAAGGCAACTCGAACATTATGCGTGCGTTTCGGACGGTCGCCAAAATTTAGCATCTTCGAGGGTAACTGTGAACATGATAATTTTGGCGGTTACGGATTTTCCTTAATCGGCAAACAATAAGCTCCCACAGAAATGAAATATAGCTAGATAAAACGCTGCATGAGTTTATGACCTTCGGTTCAAAAAACAGGGAGATATCGATCCTGCAAAGCACAAAGAGATATCACCATTCCGATAAGTAAAACTGTAGTATCTTGCATCGAATAGTATGGAAAATCAATGTTTAATCAAAAAAGTTAGATTTTTTTCATCAAACAGTGATTTTCTCTCTCATATAAGAAGAAAACATTTCCTCGAAAGAGGCAAAAACGTTTTAGACTTTTTAGAATTTCAATCATTCATTTATTGTAATTTTTTTGTGGAATGTCTTGCGTGTCCGAGATACGTAAAAGCTCTCATGTTTCCATTATTGTAATTAAGTTGTTTTGATATTCCCCCTTAGTGCAAATCTGATCAGATCACAGTTTCAATGATAAATCTTTTGTCTGCATTCCCAGGTTGCCTCAGCACGCATGGTAAACATATAAAAGAGACATATTTCGGAAATGGCCTCTTTTAAAACAATAAGTCCCGCAGATAAAACCATTACTTGCACGCTGGTTTATTTCATTTTGTTTTCAATTACTCACAGTGTGTGTTCCATTGTAGGTTGTTGACTTTGGATGAAATGAGCTTTCGTTAATAGTTTTATCTGACCTGATTAAACACGAACGGAACTTCCACTGATCGATTAAGACGATTTTGTTCACAGCAAAACTACTTTCTTTAACAGTTTGATTTTCTTCTCGTTTCTTCCATGCACTCAACATTTAAGATGTAGCTTTATTATTCATTCGTTTTATTTATTTTTTGAATTTGTGGAGGCAGTTTATTTTAAGTCATTGAATTTGAGCCATATATGTACCCTGAATCATTCTTTCACCATACACGGAATAGGGATTTATTTCTTCAAGGCAAAACTTAACAAGATGAAACTGCAAAGGAAAATTTCCTTGATTGCTGATGTATCAGTTTCTTCCAACTTCACTTGAGAGCGAATGGTATACAATGTACAAAATTGTCTATCACTGTTAGGGTTTAACTGCTTTATGACTGATGAACGTTTTCAAACTTTATCATGTAAGATGAAACTTTTCATTGATTTGGCTCACTGACAACTTTCTGCCACAAAACTAGAATTAAAGATTATGTGGTTCTGATGTTCTTTTTTAAGGAATAGGATAAATATCCTAAAGTGTTCTCTCTATTCTGCAAGTGTGTTCGATGAGTTTTAAGGGGGAATAATAACAAGCACTCGAAATAACCGCAGTTTGCGGTAAAATTATTACAAGACACAACTTTCTTGTAATTGTCGTGTTTTGGAGATGATTAGCTCCTCTTTCAGTAGTAATACGAGTAAGAAAGCTTAAGCAGATCACTGGTTTGGAAAAAGAAAATACGATCGATATCCCGTGTAGTGGTTTAGACGTAAATAAGGGAAACTGGGACAAGCATGTTGGGTCTGACCTTTTCCCACCCTTGAGGTGGTTTACATGTATTTACATCTAGTTCACACTGGCGTTTGGTTATGTTTAACACTTTGTTGTTTCTCCCTTTGACTATTTTGGTTTTGTTATACGTTACTCAATTATAACCTGCTGTATGCTATGTTTCACACCTGCGTCATCTTTCAGGTCCCGTGCGAATGTTTTCCATGACACCTCATCCCCACGAGGACGAAGAAGGAAATGTGTATAACGTTGCTGTTTCTCTGAAAAATGGAACTCGCTACAATATAACACAAATACCACCACGACCCACCACCCCTGGAGACACTGCGCCACACCCACTTCAGGGGGTAAATGTTTTGTCCACTTTCACCCCAAAAAATCGGCTCTGCTACTACCACAGTTTTGCCATGACTCCTAACTACTTCGTGTTTATCGAAAACCCGTTCGTTGTGAATGTGTGGGCACTCCTGACGATGAAGATGAGAGGAAGATCTTTCCACGAGTGCATGAAGTGGGACAACAAGCAGCCGTCCAGGTTTTATGTCATTGATCGTAAGACAGGTAAAGTAGTGGCTCAGTACAAGACGGAGAACTTCTTCTCGTTCCATCACGTAAACGCCTTCGAGACAGAAACGGATATCATAATGGACGTTTGCTGTTACCCTGACGCCCGCATTGTATATCAGTACTACCTCCATCACTTGCGCTCTAAGGGGGAACACGAAGTGAGCAAAGGCTTCCCTGATCCAGCTCTTCGTCGCTATCGCTTACCCATTCCTAAAACTGCCTCATCCAGTTCCTGGCAGAGACTGCCCAGTTACTCAGACGGTCGAGACTACAAAGTGCTGTACTACGGGGTGGAGTTACCCCAGATTAATTATCGCTTCGCCAACGGCAAGCCTTACCGGTTTATGTATGGAGTTGGTCCTCACCAACGCGGGGACTTCCTAAACCAGCTCATCAAAGTAGATGTCCTAGGGAAGGAAGCCAAAATTTGGCATGAGCGCCACTGTTTCCCATCTGAGCCTGTGTTTGTACCAGCGCCCGGAGCTGAATTAGAAGATGAAGGAGTTATTATCTCCTCTGTAGTAGGTGTTCGTGGCAAGAAGTCGTTCCTTCTCGTTCTGGATGGTCGCACATTCCGCGAAATCGCACGCGCGACCGTACCTTGCCCAATGGCACACTCACTCCATGGCATGTTCAGACCAAGGTCCCCAGCTCTACTCGGACAATGCCGGAAAGCCTGGGCCGAAATATAATCTGGGTCACCGAAAAAGGACAAGCTCTGAAGATTTTGGAGTGCCATATGATCGTACACCATCCATTTACAGTGTTGTTCAAAACAAAGAACTCACCACACAAATGAAGTCAACAAAAAAAATCTTGTTGAGACAGTTCCTCGAACAAAAATGTGATTACTGTATTTCAATTTATGGAAAATAGTTCACGACAACATGAAAAAAAAAATTTTTTTCGGCCAAACAACCGGTCAGTTCGATATTAATAGATAACTAAGAACGAGAATCATTCTATGTTCTTTCGTTATTTTTTCAAACAAAATTCCTGGTTGAACGAGTTACTCTGAGTGTGTGTGACATCTTTGATTGGTTATTCGCTTTCGTTTCGTAATGGAACATTGCACTTTTAAGAGGGTTTCTCAGATTTTCATGAGAAAATTAGTGAGGCTCTCTGTTTTCAGTTAGGCCTGGAAGCGTGCATCTTCCTGCCAATGTCTTTAGTGATACGTTAATAAATCTGTTATAAAAAATTGGGAAAAACAAAATAATATAAAAGGGAAAAAGAGAAAAGAGTTATTTCTTTTCTAAGCATTATCCAGTGTGTAAGTTTTATTTAAAACGGCGTACGTAACAATGCGCTGTTGAGTATTATTTTAACTATTTCTAAGTTATATAAAGTAGCATTTGTATACAATCATAGTGACATTATACTTTCTTAGAAAGGAGAAAGATACTGGGAGATAACTAATAATTTTTAAAAAGATATTAATCAAAATTTTTGGAAATCATGAACATAGTATTAACTGATCTGGAGAAGTGACTGTTTTTTCACAATAACTGAATTTTTGTAACTAAATTTTGTAAATGTCGAGTTTAATTCCAGCTTGAACATTTTTGCCTGATAAGGATGTATGTACTTTGAAATGAATAAATGTATTTTCAGTTCAGTGCTTTTTATCCTTTCCAGCCATTTTTTTAGCGTTAATTATTGGGTTCTCCACATTATTAGATTCGTACCTTTCTCTTACTTTTGTGAGACCTTCCGCGGCCGAGCGGTCTATATTTGGCCTGGGTACGAGATTACTGCATTGCTTGATTCATGTGTCTTCTGTATCATTCGTATATTCATTCCCTCATTCATTCATTACTTTATTCATTTATACATTCATTCAATCAATCACTCAGTGAGGTATCTCTACCACTACCCTCCCCCCCCTCCCCCCCTTCCTCTATGGACCTCAGGAAGCAAGAAGAAGGAAGAACCTGCTAACGAGGTTGTTATTCATTTATATTATTTCTGTACTTCTTTCACTCGTTTTTTCATTTTTTTCTAAAATGGCATTTTTTATAGCTTCATGTAATCGACACTTTAACTGTCGCAGAAGGAGATCAATTCCACCTATCCTATAAATGCGCCTTTTCCTGTAGTGTCAGCTTTGCGATTCAACTGGTCGGTGATCGCGTGACAGGAAAAGCTCTAAATACTGCGGAGGGATTGGGTCGGGACATCGTGACTACCACATTATTACAAACAGTCTCGACGCGTGCTCTAGAGTCTTCCAATAGATATTGATGTTGGGAATAAATTTCATTTCTACATGAAAGTCTAAGCATTTGACATTATTTTGGAGGAGCTTTAAAACCAAAGACACAGATCATTTACTTACGTCGTTCTTCTTCCCCAAAGTCACGCAATCCACGGAATCACTCGAAAGAAGGTTAGCATGTCTCCTCACAAAAAGTAGTTCTGTTAAATGTATACAAATAATGGTAAATAAATCTTATATGCTTCATTATCTATTGCAGCAAAACCTGCACAGAAAAAATTCAACTTAGAGGAATGAAGTTATTGTTTCACGCGCGAACAAATTTGCAAATAGATAACTTATTTATGCGTAGCAGCTGCCAACTCGTGCGAGATATATTTCGGGAAATTAAGTCCATAGACCATAGACTTTTATAACACGAAATGCGAACATGAAAAGGTGTTTTCGTTGGATGATATCGTAGCATTTTATTTAAAACAACAGTGTGAGGCCAATGTATGGTAAAACTATTTAAATGAATATTTTGGGGTGATATTAAAATTTCATGTAATTTCCATTTAATCTGCATATAAGTAAAAGGTCAAAGTTCTTTGTGAGTTTTCGTGACAGATTATCTAGACAGCGATCGATTATCTGCTGAAAGGAAAGAAAAAGAGTGCGCTGGCTAACTCAGAATTAATTTCTAGGCCACAAACCTGTTATTCTACAGTTTGTTCGGTTAAATCTCTCAGCTTAATGGTAGGCACGGTCTTGCTTACTCGTAATATCAGTTAAGATTTAATCCTTTTATTGTTTCCAGAATCTTTCATTGTTTCTCGCCAAATGTTCTTAACGTTCTTGCGAAATGAAAATTAAACTCTCTTTACTTCTTGCGTGTTAAAACTTGCGAAAGATTTGCTTACGATGAGTACGATGCGAGTCAGCTTGACAAGGAAGTGTTTCCTAAACCTCGTGTTTTGTGTTTGTACTAGTGGTTACAGATCCTTCCGGGTTTTTCATCCATCAAACTTGGCTCCTAACTTATAGACAGAACCGACCTTCGTGAGAGGTATGTAGCTGCTAAATAAACATGTATCTGACATATTCTCGCCAAAGGCGAAGCCAGATGCTATTCCAAGTTTTAACAACTCCAAGGCAAGGAAAGTGATTTAAAAAGAGTTAACTGCGCGCTACGGCGTTTTCAGGCAATTGTAAGCCAGATCGTTCAAAGGTTCAGAAATTGGAAATTTTGTTTAAATTGGCGAAATTTTAAATGATGTCTTAGTAAATGAGATGTCATGGGTCAAAAGATTTACTTAAGAGATGATACTCAGTGGAATTATGTATGTTGTTCGTGTTTCCTTCTATTTTTGCTTTGGATAATAACGAAAATTTGGAACTGAGTAAAGTGGGTCGACGCTTAAAATCGAACGGTGTTCAAATTTAGCCAATGTTCAACTTTAAAGGTAGGGCTCGCTTTCATTGAATTTGAAATAGGTTTGCGGCGAAAATGGACCGGATATGAAAGGAAAGCTCACAGAAACAGAAAAATTCCCAAACCGACACCAGCTGTCAGTAAGTAAAAGTAACAGTAATATAAAATCAAGACTTTCATTGTGCTGCACAGACAGCGCAGAATATTTTAATAAAATTCTGCGTGAATTGTCTCTTTTTGACACAGAAGTTCCGGCCAGTATTTGTTTATTAACTTAAAGAGACGTCACAGCAGTTAAAGCGATTCGTTTGAGCTGCTGCTCAGGTTTGAATGCAGTAGAGCAGAGAAAACCGATGGGATCAGTTTTTCTGTAATCGTCTATCATGTGAGTACGCTTTTGCTAGTGCTTCAGAACGACCAGAGAAGTGTAGTGAGAGACGAGCCTGCGAGAAAAACCAGCGGGTCGATAGGGCATTGTTTGTCAGTAGGCAGCTTCGAACGGCGATTCATCTTTAGCGGGTTTGATACCCTTGGAATCGACCCGTCAATCAAAACTTGCTAAAAAATTTTTCATCGTAAAAGGAAAACGTATCTCGAAAGGAATTGCATAAAAAGAAATGATACGAATCGGAGAATGGCCAAGGATTGAAGAGTGAAAAGTTTTTATTTAGACAAGTGCTCTTTCAAGTAATTATTTCTTTGAAATTTCTTGTTTGTTTAATGGAATCAACTTCATGATGTTTTTCTTGTGCCAATGATTCTCACTCTGTTAAATGAATCTGTTTTCGAAAAAAAACCATTTCTATCCAGCTGCATTTGAATTTGGCTTTTTTTAAGATTGTGCATTAGTTTTTTTCGCACCTGCTATCACGCAAGATTCTGCCTTTAATAACATCCTAACACCATCATTTTGAACGATCGTAAAGTATGTACAAAAGCATCATGAGTTTCCTCGAATGCTTAATCACAATATTTGTTAAAAAGGGTGCAGGGAAGCTTTAAGTACACAATTAGGTCCATGATGCAATGGTTTCAAGTATTACATATTGAAAGGCGATAAAAAACGTAGGCTACTTTGACTAAGCAAGTCGCAGAACAATTGCTCATGCCAAAAGCGCAAAACAGAGTTAATATTTGTTTTTTACTCTAACAGTTTTCCGTCTCGAAATCGCTTGAAACACGATTTAAATTGAACGTTAATGTTTCCCCCACTGTTTCAAGTTTCTAATCCTTTAGAGTAAATGGGCGAAATCTGCATATGAGACAAAAGGATAAGACGATCAATGAAGGCGATCCCTGTTTTGTCGGATGGCTTGAAGGACGAGAACTGTTGTTGTACGGCTGCTCCTGCCGCCGGGATACCAGGCGTTCATAGGTTACCCTCGACATTTTTTCAAGTGTTTCCTTGATATTTTTCTGATACCCACCGATTCTTCTTAGTAGAAAAGGACGATGTGTCTTGCCCAAGAACACAACACTGTCGTTACCATGACGGTTTTCGGAAGTAATACTTGAAGAAGGTTTGACAGATGTTAAAGGTGCACTCTGATGCCGATAAAACCAAAAATAATGTACGTGGAATAATATAAAATAGAGACGTTGGCCATCGGGCAACGATTTAAATCAATCATTAAGAAAGAGTAAGAAAACTCATACCAAACTGGCCAGCTCTTGGCGTTTTAGCCTCTCAAGTTACTCAATATTTCACAACTGTTGTAAAATCGCCCACAACCGAAAATTCCAGGTTTGTAAACGTTTAAGTGCGTGGGCAATTTTTTTCAATATAAACAAAATTTAGCTTCAATTAAGGAACTCAAAATTTAAATCGATGAGGAGCACAAAGGGGCAAATTACGTTGATGGAAAGACTTGAATTACTTGCAGTAATCTCCCTATATGAGCTTGACTATACCGCCACACAAGTAAAATATGACATTTCGAATAGAATTTGAATGAAATATATTTGCCTTAGGTATCTTTATTTTAAAGGAGAGATATTTTTGTTATTCAATTTGATACGGTTTGATTTTACATACATTTAACAGGTTTGTTTACAGTTATCTCGTATCTTAAAAGGATATTTTCTTATCCGAACAAAACGGTCGAAAGTACAGACAGTGAAAGGTCAAAATCTTTCTCTGATTTTGTTAATGAAACCTTCGCTGCATCGCCGATTAAAATCGCTGGTATATCACAAACGATCGGCGATATCTCAGAGTTTTTCCTGAAAGTTCGATTTATATGATATTCCTCTAGCTTGATTTAGAAATTTAATTTACAGCTTGTCGGATGTCTTTGATAAAATTTGGTATAATTTATCATCAAAAGAATCGTAGGGATTCATTTGCATCCATCCTCTTCTTTTCGATGGAATAAAGAGCACTTAACTGAACATAAGGTTTCTTGCTATTGGCTGTATCTGAGGAAACGATCTCTACACTTGTTTTCAGCGACGTGAAAAATCATTGAAATGTCTTTCCGGCTCAAGGAGAAGGTTGTACCTGTTTGTAATTTTCATAGTTTGACTCCTCAGTGGAGAAAGCCTTTTCTGAAATTTTTCAAATGTTTTTGCTTGAAGGTGTAGTTGTAAACACATGCCGGACACATAACAAACCAGGTTACATCATATATCAGGGTGGAGCGGTAACTCAGGATCTGTAAACTACGAATTTACATACAGATTAGCGAACAGCTTTTCACCTGCTTTTTGATATCCACCGAGGACAATACACACAAAGCATCACAAAGAAGAAATTTAGAAAGTATATTTTGATTCCACCTTTCAGTTTTTCCTCTGGCAGCTTAAGTGCACTATAAATCACAATGTCTCATTTTGTCTTCTGTTTTCAGAACCACCAGTTGTTGAAATCACCTCAGAGAGTTCTTCAGGTCCGCGAAGGTCGCGACGATTTTTACAGCTCTGTTTAAAACCACAAGACACCAGATGTCAATGATGGATCACTACCAACAATATGGTGTTACCACAGCATTCGTTAGCCCTTTGTATATCCTCACCATGATTGCGGGATCCCTCGGCAATGGCTTGATAATCTATTCTTATGTGACCGACAACTCCATTCGAAAAACGTTTTACTTCCTCATCACCAACTTGGCGATCGCCGATCTGTTGATTTCCCTCCTTTTTACCCCGATGTTGTTCATCTATCGGGTGTACGCCAAGGCTGAGCTTATAGCATACACACCGGTTTGCGAAATCAGCCTGTTTCTCTCCATGTTCAGCATTTCCTTGATGTATTTTGTTTTCCCATTGTTGGCTTACCATCGAAAAGATGTCATGTTGCGACCACAAAATCCCAGGCTCTCTCTGGTGCAAGCACGCCTGATGGTGTCCATATTCTGGATCCTGTGCATCTCGTCCGCTGTTTTTATGGTCCTCATGGCCCGAAATGAGTTCACGAATGGCGACCCAACACCAAAGCTTTACCGCTGCTTGCTGATTAACCAGCGTCTGGATACCTATGCGCAGGTGTTCCTCGGGTACTCGGCGACCCTGTACGGCCTGTCTATTGCCTTTACAGCCATGATCTACCTGCAGATATTTTTTACCCTGCGAACCCACCTTGAAGGAGTGAATGGATCGGCGGACGAGCGACATACAACCAAGTTGTGCTTCTGGATAGCAATCGTGTACACTGCTTTCTGGACTCCGTTCCTCCTCGTTCAACTTGCCGGAATCTTTGGTACCTACACAGAGCTTTATTTCAACCTTCACGGCTGTTCATCTGCTATTGGGGTCATTGGGTCAGCGGTGAATCCATTGCTGTATGCTGTCATGAATCCATATTATAAGACCAGGATGCGTGACTTGTTCAAGCGACTGACTTGCCGCGGTTAGTAGAACCATCATTCGAGGACTCGACACCTGTGTTAACGTTAGGTAATGAGAGATTTTCAGTTGAACACTATAGGACAAACGCCGAAGTAATCGCATATGCAAATGTCGAGAAAAATAAGCCATCTGTAAGCAATGAAAAATAAGGGTGGAAAACGACCTGTAAAAATGTGGCATAGCCGCAGATGGCTTTCATTTCGCTTCTGATTTGTCGTTGCGAGGTTAGCGCGAGATTTTTAAACCAATCAAAGAGCGAGGATGAACAACGCCAATGTAATCCCCAATTACTTTTAGCTCTAAATTGCAAATTGCTCTATACAGGAGATGATTATGAATCAAAATACAGCAACTTTAGACTACTGTAAACATGAAAATTGAAAATCGCTTCATTAAGTTTAAACTCTGTTAAAAAAAAAAAAAGACAAGTTTTTTTAAAGAAGTAACCCTACAACTCTCAGAAGTGATCAACAAGTAACTTCTCCCTACAATGCCAATACAATATCCAGCAAACAGGTAATGGGAATACTCAGACTTGTCAGGTAGAAGTTAGAATCTTGATTTTAACTGCAAATTCTCATTACTAATTTACAAGTAAAAGTGTAGCAACCAGACTGGAGAAAAAAATGAATCAATCTTGAGAGTTAAAGGTTTTAATATATTTTTTTTCTATACTTGCTTGTTTCAGTCTAAAATGTTTTGAACTCCAGTTAGTATTTGCTAAAAGCTGTGTCTTTTTTGTTGTTTTTTTTTTTCTCCAAAACCCTCTGATACTGATATGTTGATTAATTCCCTGAGTTATTTACAAATAGGGTGGCCTTTCGTCGCCGGTTATAGCTGCATGGTACAAAAAAATTTAACAACAATAACTAAATAAGTAAACAAGCTCAGTAACTTAAAGTTAATGTGCTAATTGTATCATTTGCAGAAACGGCCCCGACCATGACAGAAGAAATCTAGAAACTAAAAATTTTTGTTCAGCAAGTAAGGAATGAGTTATAAGTATACATTTACTATCTTTGCCGAGACAGCTTGGTATACAGTAGAAAAGTAAATTTTAAGCTTTTAAGTCATTTTTAGAGGACATGGTTGATGCTTCAGATGCTAAGTCATTGTCATATGTAAAACATGTAAATTGATGTGATATGATGTGGTAGTTTTGTCGAAGGTACGTAGTATTGGAGTAAATAAGGTGTTTGTTGATGACCAAATAAACAATGTTAACAGAGAGACTGAGAGGCTAAATAAACAATCTTGGGAGGCCGAGGTGGTCGTAACCCCCCAACCCCTCTTCCCTTCTTTCTTCAGGAGTTATATTCTCTTTGTCTTTCACATTGAAGAACAATATTTTCACTAACCTGTGTAAGGCAATCAGTCCATAGAAATAAGCGAAAAAGGGAGAGAAGCGGGGGAGGGTAAGAGGAAGGACTTTCCCATCCCCAGCCCTATGGTCCGTTGTAGTCACTTTCCAGATTCCCGCCAATTTTCTCTCGCCCGCTTTTTCTGCTCATCTCCTCTGACTGAGAGCCAGTTATGAGCGATATTCCGATCCCCTTTACCCGCCTAGGTCTAGTCTCCTGACCCATTCCTCGGTAAACATTTCACAGCGATTGGAGTGAAATTCAGCGAATTTCTGCAGATGCGGAAGCTAAGGCAATAAAATGAATGATCTTTCTCTACCAACTGGAGAAGGTCCAAAGACAGCCGTGACAAGGATTCGCTCTTTGTGATGTTGACAGAGGGCAAGGCCGCGCGCGATCTCTCGCACTATTCGCGCCCGCACGCAAGCAAAGAAACAAACAGCGGCTTAACACTCTGAGCAGCCGCTTACAATAGTATTAGGTTGGCTTTCAAAATGGCGGCTGTTAGTGTTCGCTCCTTGCTGAGGTTGGGCGCTATTGCAGGTCCAAGGGTGCTTCTGAAAAGTATGTATTCTCGTCAACCTGTTTTAATAGTGATATTCTGATCTATTTTAGCCCTCAGTGGTGTTTTTTCTCGTGTCGTCTCGTTTGTGTTACAAAAATATTTCGCTGACTTGTTTTTGTCACCCGGGACATAAGCCCGAATGAAACAGTGTTAGTATTTATATAATCATCTGTCATTTTTGCGTGATTCCAAGCCGTTAATTTGGTGGATGAATTCTAGAAAGGGATTTTACACGTTTATGAATGTAAACAGATTGGTTTGAATTCGATACAGATTTATTCACACAATTTTAATTTGTCTCTTATTATGCAATTTTCCTAGATCAATACAAATGCTGCAAACCCTCTGTCGCTGCTGCTATTTTCACACAGCAGCCACGGAAACTCTCCAGTGAAGTGGCATTGAAAGGTAGGAAAATGTACATTTATTGTGTTTAGGCCTTGGTCAGATGCCATATCTCACTTGGTTTGGATGAACTCTAACGTTATCAACCCTAATTAATTAAACTGGCTGATTTGATTCATCACCAATTTTAATAAAGAGTTTAACTCCACAGTAAGTTTGATGCAACCTCTGTGGATTATAGTTTTACAACTGAGTATATGAAATTGTAGCCAATTTAAGTACAGTTAGTGCAAATGCTTCACTTATTAGCAACAACTGTTTGGGTTTTGCATTTGTAAAAGGGCTGCAGTAGTTGGTTACAATGAGATTGGTCCCTGCTCTATAATTCTTGTCAGCAAAAGTGTTTTTAATTGGCTGAATTGTACAAATCATGCTCTACTGGTGATCAACTTTTGATATTTAGAACATGTTGAATGATTGACAATTGTTAAGCAAGTGGGGAGATATTAACCTAACTGCTTCATGCTTCTACAATACTGAGGCACAAAGCAGTTTGGTCAATATCTACCACTTTCTCTGACACTGAAATGAATAATTGCTTTAGTGTATATCTCATAAAAACCCAACAAATTTGTTCATTTTAGTCAATATACCTAAAAATGGTCAGAAAAATTAAATTATTGATTCATGATGTCGTCTCTTCAGCAGCTCAGAGGTGAATAGTTCTTGCTAATCACTTCCAAACCAGCCAATCAGTGCTGGTAAAGAGCACTATCAACCTGCGTGGTATATATTGATGAAGATTATAAAATATCTTCTTTGCATCCAGGGTGTCTATTAATGCATTAAAAAGTAAGGATCACAAAAACAAGGAGATTAGTAGTTCAAAGGGAATTATGCTGATAATAGTGTTAACAGTAATGTGCTGCATGATTTGGCATAGCAGCAAGCACAAAATTGCAGTCTTAGACTGCCAATATCTGTTTAGATTTCTTATTACACTAAATACTTCATTCCCAAATATGTCTGTAATTTTTGACAATTTTTAAATTGTCAACAAAGTGTTGTTAAAACAACACTTTTTTGCACGTGTAGAGAGAGTTCCTTTCAGTAATGTATATTGGCTAAGAAAAGGACAATTTTCAAGGAAGTTGTACTCACTGGATGTTTTCATTTGGAGCTCAGGGACCTGTTTCTTGAAAGTCCTGGGCCCAAAGCTATATTTTCAAATCAAAATTTAAAGTATAGAGAAGCAGGTCTGGGACCCTAACCAGTCCATTTTGTTTCTTTAGCTAATAGTTTTATTGTACAATTTTCAAAACTTTTGAAAACCTATTATCAATGGAAATTGAACAGCTTTATGGGTCCGTTAACTTACCAGAAACTTCGAGAAACAGGCCTCAGCACATTAAATTAAAGCTTTTGATGAATTAAGTTGTTTAATTGCTGTCATCTTGTTCACTGAACAGAAGATGCAACAGTAGCTCAGCTGTCAGAGTTTGGACAATATGTGGCCAGCATTCTGCCTAAGTATATCCAGCAAGTTCAAATGACACAAACCAAAGAACTAGAATTGCTCATTGCTCCTGAAGGAATCATCCCTGTTCTGACATTCCTCAAAGACCACACCAATGCACAATACAAGTCTCTTGCCGACCAAACAGTTGTGGATAAATTAGGAAAGCCTTTTAGATTTGAGGTACAATACAAAGTTAACCTTAGAGTTAAGACTTTATGAGCTAGAAGCTTCTTTTTCCATTTTACACAGGTTTACTGAAGTTTAAGTAAGTTACATGTGTATTTAAATTTCATTGTATCTGAGTAAAAAAAATTCAAAGGTACTGTTCCTATTAGTTTCTTTCTTGTCCAGTTTCACACATCTTTCGTAAATCAAGATGTCTAACAAGTAAGCAGCATACATCTTAAACTTAAAGGTGAATGATAACTTCACATGTGAAAACTATAGGAAGTTCCTAGAGGTTTCAGTGTGTTGTGGCGAATGTGGAATTTTTCTGATTTCTCCAATTAGGTCTTATATTTCCACACCCATTAATTTGCACTTGGTCTTTTTTGTGTTTCCATGCATGATTTTTACACCATTACTTTTGCACTTAATGTAAATTACCCCAACCTTTACATATCATGTTTCATGCCCCTTTTAGCAGTGTTTCTTTTTTTTTTTTGCCTTCATGTAAACCTTTTTCCTAGGAGTATTCCATGTCTTTTATATTCCCTCAGCATTTGGAATTTACTTCTTCTTCACATGCATATTAAAGAGTAGTGAAATTGATTGATTGAAGTGGGCCCTTGTGACTTCAAAGTGTATCTTAAAAACAAGCTTAGTTATAGTGATGGATTTCTCATTATAAGAAATCTTTTTCAGTTTAATCTCCTTTTTGATCTTGCACAGATTGTGTACAATTTGCTGTCCCTGAGATACAACTCAAGGATCCGTGTCAAAACTTACACTGATGAACTAACAGCAATTGACTCTGCTAACCCTGTGTTTAAGGTGGCAAACTGGTATGAAAGAGAGGTAAGTATAATTACATGAAAGTACTGCATCAGCATTGAGCTGATCATTGAGCTAATCCTATAATTAATAAGGTATACATGGTCTAATACCAGAGCCAAAAGCAGCCATTCTGCATTAATACATTGGATCTGCAAAAAGATATTCTTTTATGAACAAGGACAATTTTAAGTGCAAAGTATTGATGTATCTTGTGAATTGAAACCAAAAGCAAAGTTTTAGGTAGATCTGTTATGTTTTGGTCACAGCAAAATTGGATTTTTTCAAGAGTCTTCCTTTTCTTTCTAAGAATAAAATTTAACACCTTTCTTTATCAGAAGGGTTCCAAACTTGTAATTGCCTTATGTCTTTATGCATAACATTCTTGATGACTTTGAAAAACTTTAGGGCTAAATGTGTATCACAAATGAACATTTAAATTCAGGTTTGGTAGTAGTTTTTGTCTTATGTGAATCCCAAATGTTTGAGATATTCTAGTAAGGCATCTGTTCATTTGTATCAGCATTGGTAACAGGCTCATCATGAAATTCAGACTTTTACAAACTCTTTTTTATGGCAGATTTGGGACATGTATGGTGTATTCTTTGCTGATCATCCAGACTTACGAAGAATCTTAACAGACTATGGATTTGAAGGACATCCATTTAGAAAGGACTTTCCCTTAACTGGCTATGTGGAGGTAGTGATAGGCTTTACTTATGTACCACATAGGTTCATAATAGTGAGTAATTTTTGACAAGTGTGTGAAAATGTTGAATCAAGGAAATTTAAACCTCAGACTTTTCCAGTTCACAAAACTGGATGCTCCTACAGCAAAGCTAAGATTAATATCATTTGTGACCTACATGCCTTGTACAAGGTTCTAGGTTATTATATCAGAACTGCTATCAAGTTCTTCTTGAGGTTGTGGGTAGACACAGCATACAGCATACAGCATGTGATTGATTGGCTGGATGGGGGGGGGGGGGGTAAATAGGTCCAAGTTTAAAACCTGGCTGAGTCCTTGTGTTGTGTTTGTGGACAAAACACTACTCTCTCTCTCACAGTGCCTCTCTCCACCCTGGAGTATAAATGGGAACTGGCTAACTGTCAGAAAAGCCTGATAAAATGCTGGGGGTAACCTTGTGATGGACAAGCATCCCATCCAGGGGAAGAAGAGGTACTGCTAGTCACTTCATGCTAAGGAAACTGGGATAAGCTCTAGCTGGGTGAGCCATGAGGCTCCAGTACAGACTTTACCTATCCACCCATGTAGGGTTTACATGATATATTTTCTATTTATATTTCAGGTGAGGTATGATGATGAACTTAAGCGTGTTGTTTGTGAACCAGTGGAAATGGCTCAAGAATTCCGCAGGTTTGACTTCCAGACACCTTGGGAAAATTTCCCTGCACACAGGGAAGAGATTGAAGCTGCACAACAAAGTCAACTTCCGCAGGGAGACAAGCCAGAGAGAAGTTGAAGATAAAGGGTCTCTATACTACTGATATGTAATTCCAGGCTTTGAAAAAAAGTGCAATTTGCTCTAATTGGTTTGTATGTGAACATGTTATCCTCCCTCTGAGGTTTCTCTGAGTATGTTTTGTCTGTTATAGTTAAAAGAAGACAAGATAACAATTTATTGTAAATAAATCAGCGAGAACCAAAATATGAGTGTGTGGCCATTACTAATAGCATTTAATAATTACTTTTAGTTTTTATTTTGTCGTCAGGTGTAAACCTAAGTGCAGTGCAAATTTAAAGGTTAACCTTTCACACCCTAACATCAGTATGCATATTCTCCATAGTCAACCCTACATTTTGCAAGGTATTGACAAGGAGAATTTGTATAACAATCAAGAGGTTCTTCAGTCAGTGATCATTTCCTTCATTCTCATTACCTTAGCCCTTTACACCCTAAGACTGATAAGCATCTAATTTATCCAGGATGTATCACCACATATTAAGGTAATGAGAATAAAGAAAATGATCACCAACTAAAAAAGCTCTTGATTGTTAAACAAATTCTCGTCGTTAGCAACTTAGTAAATGTATAGAGAACAGTGTGGAGAATATGCATAATGATGTTAGGTGTAAATAATAATAATAATAATAACTTTATTTAAGTGTCAGTGTATTTTAGCACTGCTGTGCTAATTGGGGACACTGTAAATAAGGAAACAAATATCGTAAATGAACAGAAACTCGTTAAAAACCCCAACTGGTAGGAGGCAGACCAGTTGGCTATTTACAAAGCGTGCAGGAGTTGAATTCGGGGCCACCGGAGACAAATCCATCCAGTGGCAGGGAGGAGGACTTGAACCCGGGACCTTCGGCTTACAAGTGCAGCGCCCTAACCACTAGGCCACGCTTGCCTCCTAAAAGGTTAAAGTGTTATTTAGGGGTGATACTGAAAGGAAAAATTAGAAGTGGAGCACATTACCAGAAATTAGAAGGTAGTCATCCTTAGGGGTTTGAAGGTTAATGAGTGCAAATGCTTTGGAATTTGGATGAACTTTCATTTTGCAATAAACTTTTTTACAGCTGTTCAGTTTGTGATGGTTAGCTTGCTCAGCTGGTTTGGTTATTTTGAAGCATTACATGGAGGAGTTGAGAGAGATTAGAGACTGAGAAACTACTAAATTTTATAGTTCTGCTTGAGTTGGTTGGCTTTTGGGTGAACTGGAAGATCTTTTATTGCACACTCTGTGTATGAAAGAGGCTGTTTTGTGACTAAACATCAGGACATTTCTTGTGAAAAAATGTAAGTTCCAATGTTCCCTTTGTGTGGTTTGAGGAGCTACCTCAGAATTAAACATTGCATGCTGCTATTTCAAATGTACCCGAGTGTGTAATTTGATTTACAAAACTTGTTGTTTTTATCCACTTTTTGCACATGATCAAAAGTTACCATTACGATACAAAGGGATTCACAGAAGAAAAGCAAGGGTTTCAAAATGTTTTGAAGAAGGCGTCAGCCTCTGCAAAAGCAGGTCACAGTAAACAGTTGAGTAAGGGCCAAAAGATAATTATTTTTACCTGAATAACCAGTGACATATTATCAAAGAGCTGGCAGAACTCCAGCAGTTGCCAGCTTGTTTTGAAACCCCTGCTCAGTTCAGTTCAGTTTGTATTTATTTAAAGAAATATAAGGTTTACAAAACTTCATGTCCTGCAAATAGCTACAATGCTAATCTAGGCAGGACAAGACTTTAACTAAAGGCGTTATTAAATTACATAAGAAAAAGAAAAGAAGAAATACAAAAACATACAGAAAGAAACACCTTACATATAAATTCGAGTACAAGGGATTTTGTTATTTGAAAAAGACTAAAATTACAACTAGAGGTATATACAATATATCAGGTTAACTTCACAAAATATTCTATTAAAAAATTAACATTCAAATAATTATCTTCATTACCTAGAACATTAAGGAGTAGTGATTTAATTTTTTTACGAAAATTAGAAACGTTGAGAGTCTTAACAGAAAGTGGAATAGAATTCCAAATAGACACCGATTCTAGTAAAAGATTTTTTCATTTTTTCAGTTCTAGAGAATTTGACAGAGAAGCATTCTTTTGCAGATAATCGCGTATTATAATGATGTTCTGTATTGATTTTCGCAAACTTATCGAGAAGACTTTTAGGAGCTGGCTTAGCATGAACGTCATACATTAAATAACTTAACCGTTGAAAGAACAAAGACTGCAAAGGAAGGCAGTTTGATTCAATAAAAAAAGGGATTGCATGGTCTCTGGGTTTAGAAAAATAAATCAAACGCAGAGCACGTTTTTGCAGAACAAGTATCTTATTGAGGTAGGTCTGTGGACAGTTGCCCCATGCACAGATACCATAATTTAAATAAGGAGAAATAAGTGCATGATATAAATTCAAAAGAAGACGCCGTGGAATGTAATGCCTCATTTTAGCAATTATTCCAACCGATCTACTAATTTTGTGACAGATAAAGTCAATATGATGCTTCCATGATAGTTCAGAATCAATCATTATACCCAAATATTTAACAAAGTCCTTCATCTCTAGAGTTACTCTAGTATTTAAAGTTGGATTAAAAATCTTAATTTGAGGAATGAAAGGCATTCTTTTTTGGTGGGGATGAAAAATGACATAATTAGACTTTTTGACGTTGAGCGTTAGTTTGTTAGCATTAAGCCATTCGCTTACTTTCTCAAGTTCATTATTGACAGTTAGTTCAAGAGTACGTAAGTTGTCATTTGCATAAGTTAGACTTGTATCGTCTGCGAAAAGATAAAAAGTAAATTCCTTGGAAGATTTATGGATGTCATTAATATATAACAAAAATAACAAGAGTCCAAGTACAGAGCCTTGAGGTACTCCACATACGATCGTTTCAGTTTCAGATATGCATTTGTCTATTTCAATAGACTGTCGGCGATCTGAAAGATATGATCTAAACCAAGAATTTATAACTCCTCTTATTCCATAGTGTTCAAGTTTTGTCAAAAGAATCTTATGGTTAACAGTATCAAATGCTTTCTTAAGATCTATAAAAATTCCACATGAGTACTTTCTATTGTCCATATTAGAATGTATGGTGTTCACAATATCAAGAAACGCGTGCTGGGTACTATGTTTATTGCGAAAGCCATATTGTAAATCATAAAGAATATCATTCTTGTCTATAAACTTTATCAGTCTACGATATAAAATTTTCTCAAATAAACAATTATAAATTGATAACAAAGAAATTGGCCGATAGTTTTCAGGTAACGTCTCGTCTTCACCCTTATAAACTGGAATTACTTTTGCATATTTAAGTTTTGCAGGGTAAACCCCAGTTAGTACAGAGTGGTTAAAAATTTTGGTTAATGGTATGGATATGACTGATTTGGCAAGTTTTAACAGTTTAACAGGGGTAGAATAAAGCCCCAGGGCTTCCCTGGTGAAAAACTTCACAGGATCTTTGAGGATCTTCAAGGATTGACAAAGACCTGCCAAAGATCCTTAAGGACAAGGATCTTTAAAAGATCTTTAAAGGATCTGTAAAAGATCCTCAAAGATCTTTGTAAGCAAAAATGTTTGTTAAGATCCTCAAGGATTTGATAAAGATCCTCAAAGGATATTACAAAGATCCTCATAAGGATCCTCGCAAAGTTCTTTTCAAGGATCCTTCAAGATCCTCAAGGATTTAGCAAGGATCTTTCAAAGACCCTCAAAAGATCCTTTCAAGGATCCTTTCAAGATCTTTGTAAGGATCCTTAAGGATTTAATCAGGATCTTGCAAGGATCCTAGTCAAGATCTTTGCAGGATCTTTTTGAGGATCTTTCAAGATCCTCAAGGATTTAATGAGGATCTTTTAAAGACCTTCCAAAGATCCTTTCAAGGATCCTATTAAGATCTTTGCAAGGATCCTTAAGGATTTGATCAGGATCTTACAAGGATCCTACTCAAGATCTTTGCAAGATCTTTTCAAGGATCCTTCAAGATCCTCAAGGATTTAATGAGGATCTTTTAAAGACCTACAAAAGATCCTTTCAAGGATCCTGTAAAGATCTTTGCCAGGATCCTTAGGAATTTGATCAGGATCTTACAAGGATCCTTAAGTCAAGATCTTTGCAGGATCTTTTCAAGGATCCTTCAGGATCCTCAAGGATTTAATGAGGATCTTTTAAAGACCTTCAAAAGAACCTTTTAGGGATCCTGCTAACATCTTTGCTAAGATCCTTAAGAATTTGATTAGGAGTTACAAGGATCCTAGTCAAGATCTTTGCATGATCTGTTCTATAATCCTCTAAGATCCTCAAGGAATTGAAAAGGATCTTCCAAATATCTTTAAAAGATTCATTTCATGATTTTGTACAGCTCTTTGTAAGGATCCTTTTTGAATTTGATGTGGATCTCAAAGGCAACTTTGTCAAGATCTCTACCACATCTCTGCATTATGAATTAGGTTCCTTTGAAATCCTCAAGTAATTTCAAACATAACAAAATTGTAAATTGAGGGCTCACTGTTTTATAATTTAAACACAACAAGGAATTTTCGCAGAAAATTATTGTGCAATGAGTGTAATGAAGGTTACCGCATAGCAACGCCATGCTCGAGGCTTTCGGGAAACTTTGTGACTACTTACATGACAACAAGTAGGGTTTTGCATTATGGGATAGGAATTTATACGCGCCGAGATTTTTAACGGTCGCATAAAAACATAAGAAACTCGTCATTACGGCAAATATCATCGACAGTGGTCGGAACTAAAGGGAAAATGTACACAGAAATAAAGGTAAAGGAAGGGCGTTTTCTGGAGTTCAGAAACAAGCGAAAAGAGAGACAGAAACAACCGAAATCGTCAATCAAACTCCAAGCAGGTCTCGCGATTGCTCTGACTGTGAGGCTGAATAAAAAGAATTCATTGGTACTTCTGGAAAGAAAATGAAGATGCCATCCTCGCCTAATGATTCTTACTCTGAGCTCTTGGAGAGTGAGGATGCAAATGATGTGTACAGGGACAAGGATACAGGCTTATCGATCTAGAGAGATTCTCCTCGACGCTCACTGAAGGACATGTTTCTGAAGAAGGTGTGAATTTACTTGGTTCTGTGTAACCAACTTAAAAAGCTCTTTTAAAGGTTGTCATATGAATTCCCGAAAACACTTATTTTGTACCTCAGGATGTATTAGTTCAATTAATCTGAAGTTTTCAGGGCTGTATCCTCTTACTGAGTTGAGTTGGATAAGCTGACAGTTTCTCTATAAGCTGAATTTTAAGTAAGATGTTGTGGAATAACTCACCTAATAATCTCGGTGAACTTTGAACGGGCATTGTGCCCATAATATAAACGACTCCAAAAGTTCCTCAGCTCATCCAAAAGAACGACCCTAGTACTTTGTTTTGACACTAAAAACACTTGAATTCATGCAATCTTTGTGCAGTTATCTTTTCTCAAGTTTACCTAGGTTTTTCACACCATGTGGTGGACAAATTGATCTGATGTCAAATAACAAATTAGTTTAGGGCAACATATTAGTTATATTCAGTATGTGTGATTCCTAAGCTTTCCTTTGGTATATAGGTTAATATGGTTCAGAAATAGAGTCATTGAAGTACTCTTGTTTGCCTTTTTTTCATGTTTACCCCCTCTGTAAGAGTAGTCTGAGTCTGATCATAGTCTAGTCCTAGACAAGTTGAACACATATATTTTGGTCTTCTTATCTTTGAGCTGGACTGTTGCCAGATTTTTTGGAAAATGAAAATCTTAGTACTAACCTAAAGTCTGAACAGAAATAGTGTAGAAGTAGTCCTACTAGAAGAGGATGTGTAATTCTCGTTTAGCAATAAAAAAAAGTTTTATCTTCATTTTTTTATGTTTGGTTCAATTTTTCTTTTTAACTTAGTATGAGGATTTAAGTATGCTTATTTTCTTGTCAAAATTTCGAAGGTTCTATAACATTCTTGCTAAGATCTTCAACGATCTTCCATTTCCTTGCCAGGATCTTCAAGGTTCACTGACATTCTTGTCAAGATCTTTAAGGATCTTCAAATCTCTTGCAAAGATCTTTAATTTGGCTGTCAAAATCTTCAAGGATCTTTCTTTTTTATGCCAAGATCTTCAAAGATCTTTCAATGTATTGCCAAGATCTTTAAGGGTCTTTTATTTTCTTTCCAAGATCTTTTAGGATCTTCAAAATTTTCAAAAAGATCCTTGAAGATCTTGTCAAGAAAATGAGAGATCCTTAAAGATCTTAACAGGAATTTGGAAGATCCTCAAAGAATTTTCAAAGATCTTTAAAGGATCTTCAAAGTTCATGTAAAGATCTTCAAGGATCTTGACAGGAAAATGAAAGATCCTTAAAGATCTTGTCAAGAAAGTCAAAGATCCTCAAAGATCTTGGCAAGAAAATCAAAGATCCTCAAAGATCTTGGCAAGAAAATCAAAGATCCTTGAAGATCTTGGCAAGAAAATGAAAGATCCTTGAAGATCTTGGCAAGAAAATGAAAGATCCTTGAAGATCTTGGCAAGAAAATCAAAGATCCTTGAAGATCTTGGCAAGAAAATGAAGGATCCTTGAAGATCTTAACAAGAATTTTGAAGATCCTCATGAAGATCCTCAAGAGGATCCTCAAAGGTCCTCATGAAGATCTTGTAAGATCCTTAAAGATCCTTGAAAGATTTTCACCAGGGTTTATTGTATGGCAACAAGCTAATTTCTGTTTCAATTTCTTGCGGTATAATTGGATCAAAATAAAAACTGTTCTGCAAAGGTGGATCAAGATAATCAGAAAAAGTAGTGTTAACTTCAGGAATATTGGTTGCAAGTTGATGCCCTATTGACGAGAAGTATTTGTTGAGTGTGTTACCCCTGAAAAAGGCAAGTGACTTCTGATAAAAAGGTGGATTCTTTTTTTCAAGTTGTCTTATATTCCCAGTTGTAACAACAAATGTAATCTGATATTGTATCACAAGAAAGTGGCTTTTCTTTAAGTGGGGAAACACTGTTGTAAAGTTTATTTCAACTAAATTCTTCCTAAACAGAGTAAAACACAGTCCCATTTGAAGTTTATCACAATATCTCATACATTGCATGTAGCACATTTTCATGTTAGGACATTATCTTGGTAAAATTACATTTGTCTAATAAATGCATATTTGTCTGCAACTGGGGCATTTCAAATATTTCTGCCTCTTTTTTTAGGATCTTTGTAGTCACTGAGAACACTGAAAATGGCAAGACAATCCCAGCAATCACATGGAAACCAGAGGGGAAGTCTGTCTCAATTTTTGGTGTTCCTGTGACCACTGCAATCAAAATAGAAGGCATCTTTCTGGTTGAAATGATTGCTGACTATTATTAACCTTTCCTAACTGTCAAAAGCTTTGCACATTGCTTAATAAATTAATAAACAGGCTGGCTCTTTGAATTCTGTTCCCTAATTGGCTACCAGAGCAGGCAGAAAGGGCTTGGGTTACCCACTATGATCACCAAGAAAAGAATTTGGTGGCCTATTTACATAATCTGGAATAGCTGAAAAACTCCTATTTTTACAAGATATATCTTTTCCAGTAGGTCTTACTGCTTGGGAATCTTAAAATGCATGTTAAGGATGATAAAAAACACTAAAAGTTTCATTACAAGTTATATTGCAATTCTTTTGAACAATAGAAAGATAAATCCATCATCAAAAAAGCTTTTTTAAGTCAGATGACAGGGAATTGGCCTTACGCAAAAACAATTTGCCAAAATCCAGCCATATTGACTCCACACTTGGCTAACAACACATATATATTTCATGTGTAATAACTAACAGCAACGACTTGATGGTGCAGGATTTTGTTCTGTGTTCCTCTGCTTTACCTTGACCTTTTTAAATGCATTCTGTAAATTACTAGGTTCTGCATTTTGTACCAAATATTCTGCCACAGACTGTATAAGCTCTCTAATTCCAGTATCTGTCTTTGCAGATGTTTCAGCCTTATGTTGAAATTTGCAATGAGGTAAGCCTTTCTCTATGTGATTACAAAGTATTTTTTCAGCATCTTCTATTTCTACACTCCAACACTCTTGATCAATCTTATTATGTACTAATACCATGGCAGCACCATTAGTATGCTTTTTAGCATCTTCGTAGTAGGTCTCAATTTGATATAAGGATTCTGTTTCATCGCAGTCATAAACCAAGAGCACAGCATGACTTCCCTGGTAGTGCGGTCTAGTCAAAGCCTTATGTCTCTCCATTCCAGCTGTGTCCCATAGGTGAATCTAACAAATCAGTTAAACAAGAAACAAAATTACCCTTCACAAATTGAAATTAATTCAAAACAAATGTTCTGTTGTCTAAAGTTTCTTTAGAGAAGTAAGATAGGGAAAGGCTAACAACAAATTTGTTTAATTTAATCATGATGAGATTCCTTTACATGAATAAACAACCCAAAAAATGTGCCTTGCTATCAGGCTGCACTGCTCAGTTGGAAGAACTAAACCCAACTAATATCAGGGAGGCAGGGGTTTGACTTTCATCAATGCCTGAATTTTTTTCAGACTTCTTTTCTGCAATTTCTTCCTTTGCACCTCACCCACAAGAGTCATTTCTCCACATTCAGCCTTCCAATTACCTATGTTACTCAATGACAGAATAGCTAGGCAAGAGACTTGTATGTAAGATTTATCATTGAGTGTTTCGACAACTTGAGAGCTACCTCAACATATGTACCTTAAAAATAATTTGGTCATGTGTTCTGAACTCTACCCCTTCTGTGATTAAAAAGACATTACCACATGCAAAAAAATCGTATTCGTATCCACCCTTTCACTCCACCACAGACATGCATGTTTTAACTCAAAGAAGATATGAAGTATCATCTTCCCTTGCGCAAAACGATATGGCGATCACTAGAACCGATCATTGCCTCCTATTCCAACACTTTGATTTATTTCTTACTATGATAGTTTTCTCTTTAACTTGGACTTCGACCTTGCTTTCTGGCAAGTGTTTAAATTCCAAGGTATTCTCCTTGAATCCATTTCCAAGAACTCGATGAAAAATGGACGTTTTACCAACTCCACTCATTCCACATAAAGAAACCTTGTACACATCTAGTTTCTCACTGCCGCCTTCAGCCATATCCAGATTTTCTAGTGAGAATTTGGTAACTCTCGATTATGAAAACGATAGATATTCACTTCGAAGCGTGTAGTAATTTCTGCCATATTGCAAAACAAAGAATATTCGTTCCCAGTCTACCGCTCTGATGACTTAGAAAACGGCAAGGATGCTAAGCTTGATCAGACCTTGTACTAACCTTTACATCTGGGAAGGAAGATCAGACAATTAAATTACTGAGAGGTCGGTGAGTTACTATTTATTATATCAAAAAAGAAATAAGCTCCTCGACTAAGGGGTGACGAGCACGCGAAATCCAAGCGATTTTGCCGTTCTTTTGTGTAATGTTGTGTGAAAAATGTCTTCCTTCGCGTGACGTAAAAACTTGATATTTAACGCTGGGAAGTTACAATTTCTGGCACTGAGCATGCGATTGTGGAACTTTTGGTGCATTCCAGCCGCATTTTATGTCCAACCAATGGTTCGAGCTCATAGAGGTTTGACATACTCTTGTGGCCACGCTAGTCTTGTGACAGACGAATCGTGGTCTGATCATTAATTGGAATGAATCTTTATTTATTAAATAAATTAAATGTAATATAAGCATTATGCTTCTGAGTATTTTCATTGTGCAATTTGGCCAAGGTAACCTCTGGCAGAAGATTAATTAGGAAGAGCATAGAGAAGATGTTTAAAGTAATCAGTATGTGGGAGGGATGACAGGGTACTCTTCGGTCATTTCTGAACTGAATAAATTTTTTATACATACCCAACGTGTCTCAGCATGGACACACTATCATCACCCTCTCTCCTTAAAGACAGAGATTTGAAACCGATTCTTAACTCCTTCAGAGGAAGATAATTATTTGAATCTTTTCAAAAAAATTTTTAGAATTCTAGCTATAATATTCATGCTTTATCCAGTAAACAGGTAATGAGAATACCCAAACTTATCATGTAGAAGTTGTCATCTTGGTCTAACAAAAAACTCTTGTAACTGATTTGCAAGGAAATGTTTAACAGCTAGAGGGGAGAATTAACTATCAGATCATGGGTTAAGCAAAGGGAGTGGAATTTAAGCTATTTACCTCCATTAAATGCATGATTGGCATTTCATTTCTCCAGGCTTTATTAATTTGTTATCAGCCACTGGAAAATATGTTCACAGCTAGACAATATTAAACTGATGAAATACCAAATTCTCTTAATTAATTTGAATAGAAGAGATTAGTAGCTTGAGGGGGTTTAAAAAATGAAAACTTAATAAACAATCTCCCTTGATTGCTATGTTTGACAACAACGCAACATGTTATGTTTTTGTCATTGTGTTTATTTAAAAAGATTTTTAGTATACTTATGCTGGGAATATTTCATTTTTACTTACTCTGCTTTATTTTTCCTTTATTAATGGATTTATGGAGGTTTTGCCCAATTACAATGTCATCCCTTACCATCTTTGCATGTTGTGCCCTTGATAGTAAGACAAATTACTCCTACCTTTGCCTGTTTTCTCCTTACAGCAGAAGATATTGTTTTTCTATTGAAATCATATTAAGTTTCAATAAACATACAAGGAAACAAGTTGAAAGACTCAGGGACAGACTGATAAAGGTTGGGACAAACTTGTTTAAATTAAGGGGTGAACTTGGAATCAGGGAAAACCCCCAGATACCTCATTAGTGTTGTTACAATTTATGCAAAAGTTCTGAAGGGTTCATTAGTGACAGATTGATTGAATTTCTTTTTGTAGCAAAGATGACCTAAACTTAGGTGGTACATGCACTTCCAAGAAGATTTGTTTCGCAGTCAGGCTACTTGATCAGTTCATCTCAGTCCTATTGGTGAGAAAATTTTATGTTGGAGTGTAGAGTCTGCTATGGTCAACACTTACAAAGTAGTACTATGTGGCAAGACCGGAGTAGGAAAGACTTCCATTTTTCAGCGAATGTGTGGATCAAAAGGCACACTGAAAAGTGGAAAAGCTGTTCAAAAGACAATGATGAATCACGAGCGTCAAGTGATAGTTAAAATAGATGACAGTGATGACACAGTTCAGGTATGGCTCTACCAAGGAAAATTAGTCATTATCTTGTATGTTCTAGCTAAAATTGGTTTTGAAAAGTTCTTTAATTTTTCATTTGCCTTTGAACTAAAAATAATGGATGGGTCATTTGTTATGGGAACGAAAAGGTGGATTGGCTGGTGCAGTTTCATAATGCCTGCTCCCCCCTCTTAGAGTGGGGTTTTGTTGGTCCCTCCAGTGTTTTCTGCTTTTGTAGAAAGGAAAATAGAACACACAGAAAACATGACTGTTCAGAAATGGTTTCAGAATTTTATGTAGCCCCTAATTTTCAGGCACACCAAAAAAACATGACTCCTTTCCAGTTGCTCTGGTTCACCCACCCCCCCAATACTGAATGACCATACCCCAAGTACATTTGTAATAAAAGAAGTTGACACGCTTGGCTGAAAAAACTTTCATTACAAAAACAGATATTTGTTTCTCTAAATCCAAAGTAAAATGTTCCACCCTCTCCTCATACCTTGCCCCCCTTGCCATTTCTGATCTTGCCTACATTAGGAACAAAGCATTAAGTTCAGGGGGGAAAACAAAATTTCAGTTGTTTTAACCTGTAACTCCCATAAGTGACAAAGACATAGTTTCTCCTTACAATGTCAATACGATATCAAGTCGAAAAGTGATGAGAATAAAGAAAAATATCAATTAGGCAATTAATAGTTGATCCAATCCCAAATTCTCTGAGCTATCATCCTAAGATTGGATGGCACACAATAAGGAAAATTACTTTTGAGATCTTAGGAGTGAAAGCATGAAGGGAAAAGGGGAAATTAAATTGGCAAGGGGTGTACACAAAAATCGGTTAGTGTCACCCCTTCATTCATCACTTTAATTTATTGTTTTAAATATTGTATAGTAGTCTGCTACTATTTTAAAGGAAGATGCCTTGTCATGATTGGCTGACAATTCCCTGTCACAATCAACTCAAAAATAACAAATTTAAAGAAAAAGATTGGCATGAATGAGTGCCAAATCAAAGTCAACAAAACAATTTGATATTTGGAGAGGGGAGCAAAGGGGTATCATGATGAATCTAAGAAAAATTCACATGTCACATATACAAACAGTATTTCACCCATCTTGGTTGTATATTATGGGAAAACTTTATATCGCACCTTTCCTCATCTTTCTGTAAAATTAATGCATCATATTAATTAATTTTGGTCTTAATTATGCATGACACATCAACCCTTTGCCAACCTCTTTGAGTACTATGAAGGAAACACCTCTATTGAATTCTTTCAGAAGAGGGATGTATGGGACCATGGCTTTCATTTGGAGCATTGGCATCAGGCACACTGTACAGTATCAGCATTTACACCAGCAGACACAACTATCCACATTCCCTCTTGGTTATATTACCAACAAATACAATTAACCTCAATTCTTTCTGCTCGCATAGGTTGTTGATTCAAATAGCCTGCACCAGCACCCCAATCAATGATAAACTTGTACAACATGTCAAAATATGTGTTCTTTTTTTTTTTCAATTTCCAGTTTAATCTATGGGACACTGTTGGACTCGAAGAATATGCCCAGTTAACAAGGTCTCAGTTCTTGTTGAGCCAAGCTGTTCTGTTTGTGTACAGTGCAGATGATAGGGATTCTCTCAAACAAGTAGCTGACCTGCTACAATTGGCCAAAATTAATGCACAGGGAGCTTGCTTTATTTTGATTACAAACAAAATTGACATGACAGAAACTGTCAGTGCAGATGACATCAGTGAGTGTTTTCCAAACAATCCTTTCACACTTACATTTAGAACTTCTGCTTTAACTGGTGATGGTATCCAGGAAATGGTACAATCAGTGGCTCGGCATTTGTTCCGGAAAGCCACACCCATGAAATCAATAGGTCGCCATACTCCACGTGGTGGAGGTGCAAGCTTTAACAACTCCAGCACTCATTGCAATAATGGGTCATTGGAAGTTATACAGTTGAATATAGAAGAGAAACAGGTACCTCGTAGGAAAAAGAAATGCTGCCATCATTAAAACAATAGCAAACTTTGTAGACAAAATTATTGGTGAAAATGTTGTTCATTGAAGAATTCTGTGGTTGCTTCAGTACAGATCTCTCAGCTAAATCTCAATGGTCTGAGCTATTTCTTTAGAAAGAGAGAATTTTTTTTGTTACTTTACACTACTCTTGTGCAATTACATGACTGTACATTTTTTAATTAAAAATCCAAGTATGTCTCCTACAATATGGATGAACAAATGAATATGGAAGTGATCCTTGCAGTTATGAACACTACTTAAGAAGTAGTGAAAATAAGGCCTGAAAAAAATTGAGGACTATAGAGGATTTGAACTCATTACCTCCACAATACCACAGTGCAACACTCTAAGATGGCTACCTTACTCGTTTCTCCAACTGCAATTCACATATGATTTTCATATATTTACAGTCATGAATGAACAATTGGATTTTTCTGGCAGATTTTGTCAGTTCTCAGATGTATAACCCTTTTTGCCTTAACATTAGTTTGTCTTAACATCAGTATACAATTTCTCCATATACTGTTCTCTATACATTTCCTAGTAGTAGTACTGAGTAGGACAATTATGGCATTGCTATATGATTCAGTGGTGATACAGTGATGAGAAATTGGATGCTGGTCACTCTAAGGGATTTGAGGCTTAATTTGGTACTCAACCTGGGATTCATGTTGTTGAATAGAAAAACAGCCTTGAGCATCATATCAGAGATTAGAATCTATAAGTATTTTCACTAGAGGGTTTTGTACATATAACTGGTGGTGAAGGTGTATTAAAGAAATAAACAGTGCAAAAAACATAAAAATTCAAAAGCAAAAACAAAAGAAATATTCAGTTTTATGAATATTTGTTTGAAGGACATGCATTGTCAACCTTTAAATTTGTTTTTATTGTAATTCACTACAAGTCATGCCAGGATTTACTTTCATTGTTGTCTGTTTATGTGAAATTTTACTATAAAAAGAAACAATTTATAGAACAGAAATCATTTTCATCTTGTATCTTTCATCTTTTATTTTGTATACATAATACCTTGATAAACACTGGAAAGAGAAAACAATGTTGTTGTTGTCTTTTATGTTGTTGATCTTATGGTTGACAATTATAGACTGTACCACCAGGGTTTGTATGGGTCTTGGAAAACCTGGAAAGCTGTGGAATTTTATTTTGACATTTTCCAAGACTGGAAAGTCCTGGAAAAAGACTACGGGTCTTGGAAAGTCCAGGAAATCTGCTTAGTTGAGCAATAAAGTTTTCAGAATATACATAATATGAAATGTACATAGACCATAAGGAGAATTTATGTTGAAGTCTTGGGAATGAAAGGGTCAAAGGTGAAATTTGGGCCCTAAAAAATCACTCAGAGGACTGGAATAGTCCTTGAAATTTGTTCCTGAAAAAAGGTACAAACCCTGTACCACCCATCACTCCTGTCTGGTGCTTATTACTTGACAACAATACTTAGTAGGGCACATTTAAAACAACTAATTCACAATGTCAAACCTGACTGTTAGAGGGAAAGGAAAATTTCAAAACAAGCCAGTGAGAATTGAAAGTAAATGGCAGCAAACCGTGGGAAGGAGAAAATGAGGTTAGTGAAGAAGTGGCAATTTGTGTACATTCTGCACCTTTTTGGTTGAGAAGGTAGCAGAAGTATCCTAAATAATGTCAGAGTAAAGTAATAAAAACAAATCTTTGAAATGCTTGACAACTTTCAAAACTTATGTGAAAAAACTTCCCTGTCACTATTTCTCAATGCAGTCAAGTTTAACCCTTCAACTACCGGACCAAATTTGTAATTCTCCTTTCTGTCAACCCTGTGATTCTCATGATGTTAGTTCAGAGAATTGAGTATTGTATCTACTAATTATCCCAAAATTTGTATTTTTCTTTATTCTCATCACATATCTGGTTGATATTGTATTGATGTTGTAAGGAGAAGTTCTGTCTTGGTCACTTCTGAGGGTTGAAGGGTTAATTTAACTACTCAACATACTTGACTGAGATGTGAATAAGACTTTGTCCTGGTTCTACTGAATGCAAAAAAAAATCAGACATTGGGCTCTTTTCAATCGATTGTCACAAAACCAAAGTACCGGTCATCACAAATACCCATCAGAACAAGGAAATGTCACAAGGAGGCAGGTCATGAGCAGCCAAGTCACAACTGGTTTCAGTTTTCCATCTGACTGGTTGTTAGGTTACTGAAGAGGCAAGGGTGTGCTTTCAAACAACACTCTTTGTATTAACAAATGGTTTACTATACCTCTCTTTAATCATATTGGTGCCAAAAAATTACTCAATCCAGTAAATATTAAATTTCTTTTCTGTTTTCAAACAGGAAGACAGGAAGAATCTAAAAGTTATTTAGTTATCACTTGTACCTTTTTTTTCATACATATACATACCTTCATTTATGGAAAAAAATATATATATTTTGATGGTGGACACTGAAGACTACCAGGCAGATTTAATTACAGTAATAATTGTTTCACTAAAAATGACCTCAAAACATCATTAAATATTGCTAACTTTATTTCATATGACAATCATTGATGATGTACAATTAGGATTTACGGTATAACTCACTTTCCACGGAAGAAAAGCCAACAATTATAAACTCTAGCTCTTTAAAATAAAAAAATCCAAATCTAATATTAAAACATTTCACTAATATGACAATCTAAAAATTGCTTTTATTTTAAAATATTCTTACAGAATCCCAAATTTAATTCACAAATATTTTGAATTCCAAAATTTTTACATTAGTAAACAACATGACATTTTTATTAATTGGAAGAAATATTAGTAAGGCTGGTTTGTTAAAATAAGAGTGTTTCTATCACCTTGGAAAGATGCTGGTTCATCAACCAAAAATTCACATTTTAATCCCACTTAATAAGATTTATTGTTTTATTGCTATCAATACACATAGCTTGAAAGGTATAATTTCAAATTATTATTGTTTTGGGTAATATTTGCAATAAAAGGAAACAAAACTCTTCTCTATAAGAGTTGTAGTTCAGTTACCCTATGCTATAATTAAAGCTCTACAATAACAAATAATCTTGTCAGCAACATGAGCTTTTAGTGAGAGAAGAAAAAAAATTAGGCCTGTCAATCAAACATTGACATCCATGGTTGCAATTACATAAATTTTGGTTGTACTAAAGAGGAATGAGCTGTGCTAAAGCATAATACATATTAAATGCTTCAGAACCAGCCTATTTTAAGTTTAAATCTTTTTATTTAACAACAAAATTTGATTCCATGGGAAATCCCTTTTAGGGTGACCCAGTACCAGGCAAACCCATTATGCAAGTCCAAAGAAATCACGAAAAAAAAAAAAAAAAAAAAACATTGGTGCTGAACAGAACTTGCTGACAAACTTTTACTGTTATTTCTCTGACTTGTATGCACACTGTCTAAACCAGGAAGAGTGTGCTTTAAATCTAACACAAATTTCAAAAGTAGGTTTGCATAAGGCTAGTAGGCTGGTCATGGCTGTTACAAACCAATTTATGAAAAAGTTGAGACAAAAGTCTCTTCAGAAAACTCATCTCTAAGTTGAATATTTTACATGTTTATAGTTTCAGAATAAACTTTGCAATGTTAAGGGATCCTTAATCATCTGTGCTCCTTTTGGCTTATATCCATTCTATTCTTTACTATTTTATACTATATAGAAATACTCTATGGTTTCCTTACAGTTGAAGAAAATTTGTCAACTGCAGAGAATGCTTCATGCATTGTAATGCACCTTCTTGTTAAAGGTAAGAAAAAGTTAATTAGTCTCTAATTAGGAGAACCCCATCCACACTAATCTGTAATTGTTTGAAATGCAACGTTTTTCTCATTTTCAAAACAATTTGTGCCCACACATGGCATCATACACATGTATAAGATGAACCAACTTGAAAATAATACCTTTTAAATGATAACCCTCAGGCATAATAATTTGCTATTATGAGCCTGTGAAATAAAAAATTGGTGCCATCTCAGATAACTTTGCTTGAAGACAGGCAATTTGGTGAGAAATAAGCCCAAGTAATGAGACAAGAGAGTGAAACACCTGTCGTCCATCTTGAATAAGTTTATAATATTGTGCAGAGTGTATTGAAACTGATAGTGTGATGTCAGCATTTTTGAAAAGTTCCATTTTCTTCCTTCCACACATACAAGCAATTAAGCAGCATTTTCAAAAAGTTCCACTCTGGAAAGCACTTTTCAAAAGTTCCATTTTCATCAAATACATGTGGATAAAAGCCATATTCGTAAAGAAAAAGCTGTGTTTTCAAATGAAAACTGATACATGTGGACGAGGCCTAGGACTCTAATATCATGAACAGCAACCATTTTTCCACTGCCGTACCATGGGTTGAGGGGCCTCTAACTCCAAACCTTTGTTTGATGAGTCTTTGTCAATTCCTTTTTGTACTAACAGCTTAGCAATGGCATTAAAAGCATCTTGAATACCTTCCCCTGTCTTTGCTGACATGAGCATGTTAAGTTTGCAATCATTTGCATTGTTAAACATCTCAATTGTTTCATTAGATATCTGACTGTTAAGGTCTTTTTTATTGCCAACAAGTATCTTTATAGCATTGGGAGAATATTCTTCCAGATCCCGTATCCAGTGGCCTAAATAGTGTAATGATGAAGGTTCGTCCACACTGTACACAAAAATTGCTGCATGAGACCCACGGTAATAGTTATTGGTTATCGTCCGAAATCTTTCCACTCCAGCCGTGTCCCAGACACCAAGCTGTGAACAAAGAAATAAGACTGAAAGATTAGAAGGATTATTCTCAAGGTTCTTTGTACATATCAGCACTCCAAGTTGCAGTTGTTTTCATTGCCATGGCATAATTAAAACTGACAGTTACATTACTGTGTGCTTATGGTACACAGTGAAGTTTGAAATACAAAGTGAGAACAATATTTATGAATCCATACAGTGAGTCAGATGGGTTTGGAAAACACTTTATATTTCTGCAGAATATCTTAGCATGACTGACATACATATATGTTCCTCTTCCTGTTTTAAGACTATTTAACACAAGCTCAAAGAAAATAAAAGGTTTCAACTTTCATTTGCTCATGAAAATAATAGTAATCAGCCACAATTAACACAATTTTTTTACAAAATGGAACAGTTTTAGATTTTGGCAAGCTCAGTTGACCAATAATGATAGTTATACATAATGATAATAGGACTAAGTGGAGTCCAATTCGGTCTGTAATCAAAGCAGTGATAAACGAAATCGAATGACTTCATTGTAAATATACCATAGTCATTTACAGCCAGTTAGGTACCGTTATAATCTTTCTAATAAATTACCCATACGTCAGATTATCCCTGTAAACATTAGAATTAAGAAAGAATTAATGAACCGACACATTTGTTTTCATTAATAATCAGCTGATGGTCATAGGCTAAGGTGTCGGTAAATCTTACAAACTAGCTATAGGATTCTCGCACTTAATATTATCTACTAACGCGACATTTTTCAAAACTGCAAAACTACAGTGCAAGTGGACCATTATTTTCCTTCTCAGTATGATTACATCATACACTACTATCTTGTTTTAAATACATACCGTAACTTGTTGATCGCCAACCTTCACGTAGAGAGAAAAACTGTCGATCCCCACTGTGGTTTTCCTTCGCTCGTCAAATATATTATCCTTGGAACGGTGAAAAATCGCTGTTTTTCCTACCCCAGCTTCGCCCAACAAGATTACTTTAAAGAGCGGACCTCTATCTGCAGACAATGCCGCCATGACAGTTTATCTCCGTATTGCCCTGACAAGACTCACTTATCAGTAGGGGTGGTGGGCATAGTCTTTTCCATATGTCACGCAATGCAGGGGAGTACTGCGTGACATAAGTATGAAAAAAAAATTCGTGTGAAGCACCTGTCATTTTCGATTGATTTGTCTAAAATGAAAAAAGAATCTGAATTTTGAATCTAAAAAAAGCTTTTGAGTAAAATCAGAGTCTTTAAAGTTCTACTTGATGGGAGAAATATTTTCATTAGCCACCAAACTCTACCTCACCCCTCCATAGTGGACGTGTAGGACGTGTGTGAGCCCGAGATTCTTTGAATGATCGTGTTTCCACATTTAAATCTTGTATCGCCATTACTAAGCGAGATGAGTGACGAAGAAAGTGTTCCGTTGTATAAAATCGTGTTGGCTGGCGATCTTGGTGTGGGAAAAACCTCTATATTTCGCAGATATGATATCGACAAGTTCTCAGATTACAGGGAGCCAACATTTGGACTGGACAAATTGAGCAAGAACATTGAAGTCGATGGAAAACGATTGAAGGTTAGTGTACAAGCATTCATTTTCCTGGCATAGTCTAGATCCTCTTCTTTTCGTTCACTTCTTTTTTTGTGTATGTGCTTCTCTCTGATAAACGCAAACAAGTAAAGATCTTCGTTCCTTTTGGTGCTAACCTCAAATTATTTACATGTGCTCAAACGTTTTTCCTAACTTGGGTTTAGGATCCAGATCTGTAACTCGGATAACATTATTTTATGTATGATCGATTTATATAATTATAAGCGATTTTAGAAATGAGGAAAGAAATAGATAAATGATTTCATAGTGGTGTCCACTAAATAATCGGATAGTTTCCCATTGGAAAACTGAGTTGAGTGGCATACTAAACCCATCAGTAATTGCTTTATTTGTAAGAACAACTTTGAGCCATTCAAGTTTTTTTTTATCGACAGTTTGATGCCTTTTCGCACTGAAGTAAATATTCTCTAATCTTAAAAACCTTTCTTCTGCATCCTGCTACCCGAAAACTGCATTTTGCTCAGTCAGAAAAGATAATTTTTCATGTAGAGTACAGGGTTCTCAAATAAGCGGACAACCAACGCATTTCACCTTTAGATGCTTGTGGCTCGATTTTTAGCAAAAGGCATGACATTGTGCTGCCTTTTGATCACAAGTCGGTTACTGAAAATGTTTTTTTACAATCCTGAGAATATATTAATAATATGGAAAAATTCTATGGACCCCCTCCCCTACGCCCTTTTCCCATCATATCTGGTTGAGAGGAAGTCATTTGTGCTGGTTGTGAATAATATCAAAATGGTAAAGTCTGTGTGCAAGCCAAGTGGCCCATCCACTGGAAGCCTATCCCAGTTTGCTTGGCAGGAAATGACTAGGGGTATTACTATTCTCCCTGAAAGGGATGTCAGTCCATTGGTAGGTTACTCTCTCTTCACCCCTAGTATTCTGTCAGATTTGACAAACAGGTTGCCAGGACCCTTTTATACTTCTTGAACAGGAGTGCTTGACCTGAAGCTCTGCACACCAACTTTTAAGCCACCACACCTTCTAGGATGTGATTGATATTAAAAAATATATCAATTATCAAGGGGACTGTTTCTAATGAGCAAATATTCTTAGTTAGCAGCATTTAAAGTCAAGTCCTTCTGTTACTATCTCCTAAGCACTATGACTATAGTGGAAGATGACCATATTATTCAAGATCCCTTGATCAAGTAGGGGATAAGAACCTCTATGATAATTTTACCCGTACTGGAAAACAAAAACGAAAAAGTTATATGTAAAATTTGAATTATAATGTCATAATCCTTTAACTCTCAAGATATGATTGTTAATTCTATGGTCTTATTGTAAGACATTTCCTTGTAGTTACAAGAATTTGGCATTAGATCAAGACAACAACTTCCACCTGATGAGTTTGCGTATTCTCATCACCTGTTTGTTGGTTAATAAATGGAAATTATGGAGAGAAGTTACATGTTGATCACCTCTAGGAGTTAAGCAGTTAACTGATCCATCATTTTCTTTCATTTGCCAGATCATTGTGTGGGACACTGCTGGAATGGAGAGAACAAGATCACTCACTTCAAACTACTACCACAATTCTGAAGCTGTTATTCTGGTCTACGCCATTGATGACATGTACTCTCTTACACTGCTGCGAAATTGGATCTTAGATGTTAACAAGGATGCAGGGAAGGCTTTAAAATTTCTTGTTGGAAACAAAATTGACCTGGCAGAAGAAGGTTCTCAAGTCGATGAACAGTTGGCTCAAAGATTTTGTGAGAACAATGGAATAACAAAACTGTATAAAGTGTCTGCCAAGACTGGCAAAGGAGTGAGGGAGATGTTTGATGATATTGCAAAGTTGTTGCTTGCCAACAAAGAGTCCACTACAAGGGGTGAAAATACTTTTACTCTCAAAAGGGAGGACATGAATAAACAAGCTAAGAAAGAAAGTGGCTGTTCATGTTGACAGAGTGTTGCAACTGAAATTAAAAAATTAAGTTATTGTTTTTGTTAAATTGTTATTTACAGCATGACAGGAGAGTTCATTTGCTTAAATCTATGATTATATAATATTTGTCCCATTAGAGGTAAAGTTTCACATCCTCATCAGAAGCCACCCCTAAACTCATATCACAAGAAAATAAAAAAATTCCCTTGGGCTGAGTTAAACTTGTCCATGGTTGAAAGTTTACCAACATATACATAGCATGTTTTGCTTCTTGCTTAGTTTTTAATAGATGGAAAGATTTTATGTTCCCCACTAGAAATATAACAAAAGAGTAATTTTTCCTTGTATTTATAACTTTTTGTTACAATTACATATACCTATCCTTTTTTTTATACAAATTACTTGCAGTAAATGTATCTATTTATATTGTTTATTATGGACAGTCTTATCTTGATTTGGCACTGGTTTTTCAGTACAAATATATTATGATTCAGCACCCATGGTGGTCATCTTTTACTACAAATTATCAACTTAACCCTTAAACTCCCACAGTCTCATCAGCAATTCTCCTTACTGTCTGCCATACAATTCATGTGATGTTAGTTTGGGCAATTGGAATTGGATCAACCAATAATCCCCTAATTGGTATTTTTCTTTAATCTCATCACTTTTTTTGTTTGATATTGTACTATGGTGTAAGGAGAAAGTCTGTCTAGGTCACTAGTGGGACTTAAAGGATTAAGTAAAAATTTTTGAACATGTAAATAGATTGGTTTACAAGTATGAAAGAATAGTTTGTATCTCTGATGAGTGGCATAAATGTTAGCAGGAAAGCCTGTAGATTTGTAGAGTTTTCAAATAGATTTGTTCTACCTTGTCTGTTGAAATACGGTCAGACCTGCTTTATACCTGCCTTAGACAGTGCCACTAAATACAGGTTCAACTGCGGTATAATCTTAAGAGAGAGCAAAAAGAGGCCTTTTAAGAACATCAAAGAGGTAACTACCTTTTATTACTACATGTGAGTTTTCCATATTAGTAGTAGCTAGTGAAAGTATATGACAAATAGTAAAACAGAGAGATACAAAATAGCTAAAGTAATTGAGGATTATCCAAGTAAATGAAAAGTTTTATTAAAGTGAGCCATTATTCAAATGAAAATAGTCCATTACACTGATATTCATTCAATTAAATTTGTCTGAAATTATGCTACTCAAGTTCACAGTTGTTATCCAACCTGCTCAGTTCCATTCTTCAACATCTATATAATGAAGGCCAATATCCATCTAAAAGAACATTTTTACTTGGGTAGAGGTCTCCCACATACATACCATTCCAGCCTTATGATAACACCCCCTTCAAAAGAGAGGGTTGCAAAAGGTGTATATGTGACACTCTGTGGCAGGCAAATTTTACAGATAGGCAAAGTGAATTGAGATCATAATTTTCCCTTTTAAATTTGTGAGGTATCAACACTGATTAAAGGACAGGTGGTGTGTGAATTTTTCTAAAATTTGTGCATGAAATGGGATCAGGATCAGCCTTTACAACCCTCATAAGAGAATACTTTATAAGACACAATGGCCTCATTGTTAGAGTGCAGCTGGACTCCAAATGGAGAGGATTAATCGGTTACCAACTACATGTTGGTGGAGGAAGGAAAAATTGCTATAAGTGATTTTGAAAAGCTGATTTCTTAACCATAAGCCACTTGTTAAAGCAAATTGTTTGTTTCCAGGAAGGGCTGATACTTGAAACATTAGCTTCTTCACAAAATCAAGAGCTTACACGATTTGATTTTAAGTCAGAAACTGTTTTTTTCTAAGTAGAAATGAATTATTCAGGAAAAGGTTGATTGGTCAGTTTACACTTCACAATTAATTTTACATGGTGACTTTTCATCTGGACTTAAGGTTACTTTCCAGGTTACTTTTTTCTCAAAATAACTATTTTCTTAAGGGGGGGGGGTAATTTTCCAAACTGTGCTGCTTGGTCAGTGGGAGAGTATAACAGGTAATTTAGTGTTAACAACTGAGTTGAAAAGTTGAAAACGTTAATTGGCTACCGTAAAGAGCGTTAGCCCTCAGTCAGAACGAAGGGCTAACGCTCGAAACGTCAGCCTTTAAACTCTTTACGGTGACAATTTTTTATGTCCATGATCGGTTTGAGATACCACCAAATTGATGAAGTTATGATTTCGAACTTTCAAATGATTCCCCTCCCCCTCCTCCCACCAGCGCGCTCCGATCAGGAGGAGCTCGTCCTCATTTATTGGTCGCCTGTTTCCGAGCAAAGTGATAATTTGAAGATAAGGTTTTTTTCGTCTTGTCACGAGCGTGGAATAAAGACAAATTCTGAGTGCCCATGAGGAATCGAACCTCGGACCTTCGGATTCTGCGCTCCGATGCTCTACCACTGAGCCGCAGAGACACCACGGTGAGCGAGGTCGAAGTTCATATGACAAGCGTCCTGCATACTGCTGGGATCAGCAATGTCGATAGCGTAGTGTTTGTAGATAGAAAAATAAGAGAGAGGGTAAGTTTTGAGCTCGGTAGAGAAATAAAGAAAGATGTTTTTCGTCTTGTCACGAGCGTGGGACAAAGAAAATTCTGAGTCCCCATGAGTAACGCCACTCCAAGTCACGTGACGGTTATGACAGTCCGCTGCTCAGTTACATGTCACGTCTAGCACAGCACACAACTTCACAGGAAGGCACGGCGGACAACGTGGACTGCAGAACTTCGAGTTTGTTTGAAATCAGACGCTAAATTCTCTACAGATATATGATTTGCTGACCCATTGGGCTCGAATTGTTAATGAATGCAACCGCCAGCACTAACATAGGTAAGTTAAGCGAACATTTTTTCTCTGTGACATGGACAGTTGGCCGTTTCAAATCACTTGGTTTAGCAACTGACGCTCTCTGCATCAAATCTAAAGCACAACGCACATTTGCAGGTTAGACATTCATCCTGAAGTTTTACTTGTTATTTATGTGATTCTAAATGATCTAAATTTTTGATACATGATCTTTGTTGGGCCGACTCGCAATTTCATGATTTGTGTGTTTAATGCACTGGTGGCCGGCAATATAGCCTTTTATATTGTTACTGTGTTTTACAAAATACTGTCCGCAGGCAGAATAGTCCCAAGAATTTTTTATTGCCTGAAGTAAGTTGTCAATTTGAACGTTGAGTTAAATAATTAGTTTTCTTGCATAAGGACGTCACTCTCCTAACTGCACATTTGACATGTCCGAGCTGGCTTTGTGGAAATTTCTTCAGGGCAGGGGTCATTGCTGCCAAAGGAGTGGCTTTGGGTTCTTTAGAAAAGGCACAAGTGAAGTGTCCATATAAATAATCTTCTAGTTCAACTTTTTTCTCGCATCATGTGCATTATGCTGTGACAGAGATCATGTGATCTCTTTCTGATTGTAAAATAATTATGGATGAAGTTTCTTCAAGCATTAGCTTTCTCACCCTCCAAAAGCTGAGAACTTGATTCTCCTAACTGACAACCACACATTTCTTCATTAGATATACCTGGTAAGTTTGATGTCTATCAAAGCAATTTATAATTTCGATGATGATGACTTGTTTTTCTCCATTACCCCTTGGGGAGATAGTAGGCACATGTCCTTTCACTTAAGAACAACTGGCCCTAATGTGTTAGTTAGGCATCCATCAGAAATAACAAGTGAACAGCAACTTAATTTACTTATCAGCAAAACTGCAGCTGAGTTCTGGAGCAATGTTTTTCTACTTCAGTTCCCAAAATATTTGGGCATTCAGGATGCTGACATTGACAAGGAACCACAACAATTAGTGGCACCAATTGCAATACTTGTAGCCCACAGCATATTAGTTTTACTGTTGATGATTCAAGTTGACATCTCCCATGTTTTGGTTAAAAAGGGGCAGTAAAAAAATAATAAATAATAATATTGTATTAAATTTATTGACCTGCATTGCACAATTATTGATAAAATTTGCAATTGCACATTTCAATGTAAAAATTAGGCTAAACTTAAATACTAATGCTATGATTGAAAAAATGGCAAGTTAAGAAATCTAGAAACATAAATTATATTTATACAAAGAATTCAAAAGCTTTTGTGAATGAAAAGGTCTTGATAGCAATTTAACAATGCAGTGTTTCTGATGGATAGCACAATAGAAACTTGAACAATAGTACTAGTCTATCCAGTTGTTTTCTTCTGTTTGGTCACCAACTGGGTTTGATTGGGTGCTTATGAAGAAAATTAGTTTTGTGTCTCTCTAAGCTAATGCAACAAGTTGCATTTATGAGAGAGCTTTGCATTTAATGACAAACACTGTGTGGCCATTCACTATGTCATGTTTTATCGCACAAGGTTTTTTATGGAAACAAGTATTTTATTTCTGGTACCATTGTATGGCTCCTGGTCACCAAGTGGCAACTTTGAAAAATACCAAGCTTGATGCCCTGATATCAATGGTGAGAGATTTTGGAACTGTTACGTGTGAAACTCATTACAGATGTCTCAATTTTTTTCAAAAGTGATTTGGCATAGTTGAAATGTTGCTTATTCCCTCACAGCTACAGTGTATGTATAGGATCTGTCACTTCTTTCTAAACTGAGAAATGAGAATCAGTAAAACTGAAAGAACTGTTTTCTTGCAAAATATCTGGATAATGTTTTTAAAGTGCTGCCATCTTTTTTGGTTGGCATGATGCAGCACTTGTTGTAGTTAGTTGTGTTAATGAGCAAAGTCACAACATTCAGAATTTGTGAACTTTGAGGTCAACAGTGTGCTTACAAATTCCTAAGGGTGTCTGATGAGTCTTGTGGCTCAGGTCTAATGCTGTGTCAGAGGAGCCCCAAATAACCTTTCACAAATGTTTACAATTTTTTCTGTATAACTACATTTGAAACAGAATTATCTCCACCCTGTGGAAGAATGACAACCAAGTTGAAGTGATGAATTGCAGCAAGTCTAAGTGGTGGCTTTTCTTCACAGGTTAAAAATCTCTCTCAGAAAGTATACTCCAAGTTCTAGAGAGTCTGAATTTGAATAGTGTGGCAGGATGGGTTGTCAATACAGTCTCTAAACCCCTTTGAGTTTGGGGGTCAAATCATTGATGTATTGCATACATACTCTCTGCCTGAATATTCCACTACGATGTGACAGAAAAAAGTCTGTGTGGTGTGATAGGGAAGAAAAGTATGCTGTTATCAGACAAAGGGCATTGGATAGGTCTGTTTTAGTCTACTGTACTTATGGCCATGCAGTCAAAGTGATTGTTCTAAGATATAAGGATATTTCTCTTGGACCTCCTTGTTGGTTATCAGTGCATCATGCAAACAGTATTGAGAGCCAGTCATATTGAGGGCCTGGTTCCTTTAGGACTTTGTGGACAAAAGTGTTCCTGTTGTAGTTCAAAGGTAGAGGAAATAAACAGCCTTTTGAGGGTGTGTACTCAAGAATTAAAACTGACAACATTTTTTCTTTGGGAAAAGACAGCAAACTTCTCATTTGGTTCCTGTGATGACTGCTATAGCTGATTCTCTATTTGATCTCCAGCTGGTGATCATCATTAGCCTGAAGTATATAAACCTTATCTGGTGGCTTTCTTGTTGTGTGGGTGGCTTAGTACCCTGAATTAATTGGTCATCAGCAGAGGTAGCCACGTGGAAAGGGTAATTTAGCCTTGACTCAGGTTAAGAGCTCACTTTTTTTGTACAGTTATATGCTGCTTCTTTAGACTCAGTACCTTACACTAATTTACATTTCTGAAATTGGCCACTTTTGGAAGTGCAAGGAATAAAACAATGGGAATTTCTGAAAATGTGGTTGTTACTGCTCAGTAGGCTCAATGGTAGAATGCCAAACAAGATGGGAGAGAATCCTTTAAGAACATCTCTAGTGGTGCAACTACTAAATTATGGACATAAGACAAGTAATAAAAACAGGGTGTATTGAATAATCGTAAAATTGTCAGTAAACAACAAACAAAGTCAACCAAAGATACTTTAGTAAATTACCAGTAGTTTATATGTTAGCACTAATCTTTTGATAGACAGTCACATAGATCAGTTCGGGCCATAACCATTTCTGGATATCGGTTTCGAGCTTTGTGATTGGGTGAGATCAAAACCAAAACAAAGCAAATTTGGCCGAGAGGTGCTGGAAACAAGAAGAAGCTGGTTTTTTTTTTTTTTTTTTTTTTTTTTTCGTGGCGGACATGTTGTAATGCGGTAGTAAGCTGAAACAAAATTCGCTAATAAGGACTGGACGTAAGATACCATTAAAAATATTCGTTTATTTCAAACATTCAACATGCATGTCCTCGACATTCTCGCATTCTGGAAGAGTAAAGCGGATTCTTTCTAGCACAAATTCTTTGTAACGCTGTGGTCCTTCCACCAAGAGCGTCACAGGAATAAAAGCTCCTCCGCCAGCCTGTTTGTATCTGGAGAACTTCTGGGTAGAGCTTGGCCTCGATGTTACTGTCCGTTCTCCGTTGATTTCCCTATTTTGGGTTACAAGAAAACCAATTAAATAAGGTTGAACCAAATAACGCGCACTGATAACAATTGGGACGAGTGAGGTGTGAGATCGCGGAATCGGGACAATTTCATTTCTCTCCAGTATAGGTCGAGGAAAGACAATATCTTGCTTCTTTCCGATTTTTAAATAGACATTATCAATTTCAGTCCATCAAGCCTTTACGAAAAAGTAACAGTAAAGCAAGAAAACAGTAACTTACCCTTCAATTCCTGGTTATTTTGCCACATCGAAGCAAAGCATGCAGCTGTATGTTTAGAAAGTGCTGAACCGTGCCGATCTGCTGCCCTTTGACATCTCCTAAAGTGTATGTCTTTCTCTGCGATTTGCTGAAAATCTGGACTTCTCGTAGAGCCTCTGGAATGCGTTCCATTTCTCGTGGAAGAAGACAAGCCAGTGCATGCGAGTCATACGTGTCGTCGTCTTCACTTTGAATAACAAGCGGTGTTCCACGTGGAGCTTTGATCTTAAAATTATGATACCTGGAAAATAAACGCCAATATATACATGAGTGGGATAAAATAAAATCAAGTAGTCACAATCTATATTAAGACGAATACACATGATCGAATTCAATGCAAGAGAATCATACAAGATATTTTGCGCGCTATTGATCGATTCGCGGGAGAATCTAGGTCTCAGAACACTACAAATTCGGTCCTACAGCTTTTAGTCAGCAATAATATGTCCTTTACAATTACCCTTTGATTTGAACACCCTGTATAGAAAGTTTGTTTAGGTAATCACTGCAAAATGTGAAAGCTCGAGCGGTGTTTCCAGCGAGTTTCACAATTACAGACAAGTCCCTTGTGGTTTTAGACGAAAATTTCACTCTCATCAGTTCGTGTAGTTAAACTCTAACCTTTGTTTCCGGAATGCTGTAATAAAGACACTTCGGCAAGGCTTTCCACCAATGTGATTTCTTTATTTTCATCTTCATGCCGCTCTTATCGCACATTTCCCGGATACGATACCTAAAGATGTGAGAGCTCAGTGAACGAATACCTCTTTGTTTTATGTTTGCCCGAAGGAGAACTTACTCGCTGGATAATCACATTTATGTGTTAGATCCGTGGTTTCCTGAAATTATTTTTTAGTGTGCATTCGCCTTGGCTGAATGAATCTCTCTGATGTCAAGATCGACATTGATTCGAAATTTCATCCAGAGCTCCGATTTAAAAGATTCTTTGTTTGTAGCACTGACCCAGGTCCGTGGCAGATTTGTGCCACAAAGACGACAAAGTGTCTCGAGATACTGAATGTGTTTATCCATGCTGTTGGCTTGATCTGAAATTCACAATGTAGGATTATAAAGGTCCGATAAATAATTGTCCTTTTACTTTAAATTGGTCGGCCACAACGTATGGTTAAAATTTATGGTTTACACGATACTCCGATGGATCTGAACAAAGGAATCCGTCTGGTAGTTTGCACACTAACAGACTTTCAACATTCGTGCACTCGAGCAAAAACCTCGTGCACTCGATTGGAATTTTGACAAATTGGAAGCAAATTTATTCTAGTTTTTTAAAAGATTTTTTTTAGGAATAAAAAAAAATGTTGCATACCTGAAAACCTCAACTAAATAGAGGTTATTCCTCGATCGAGCCCTTCGCAACATGGACCTCCACCCGACTTTTCATCTGAATTTTTCCTTCTCGTCATCGCGACCACCATCAGTTCTTTGCTTGTTGTGTGTAATTGCTTGTCTTCTGTAATTTTGCAAGGTTTCATGGGATATGGGTGGGGAACTAAGTCGCTAGGGCTCGAATAAAGTAATGAGTGAGTTTCCTCGATGTCCCACTACGACATCCATGTTGGTGACGTCATCAAGTATCCAGAAATGGTTATGGCCCGGACTGTAGATTGTTGAACTGGTTGTGGTCATCTCTTGGTAAACATATGGTTTGGGATCTTTTTTAAAAGAAACTTTGTGGTCTTCATAATTTTGTACTTCATGGTGTACCATAAGGCTCAGTGTAGCCATTTGATTTTTTTTTAACCCTTAAAAAGGTTTCAGTTGTAGTCATATTGTTGCAGCTAGGATGGTATGGAGGACTTGGTCATTCTTGATAAACTTTGCTGAAAGATGTAGTTACTTGATAACCTTCAGATAATTTTTTCTGTTAAATTTTATCTCCAGTCATTGCATTACATGTGTCCAATTTCTGAGTAGTTTCTTACTTCGGACATCAAATTTTGTGAAGTATGTCTTATTACCATAGAACCATGTAGCGAGGATATTTTAATTGGAGAATTGCTAGTTTTCCTCCTAATTTGTAGAATGGTAGCTTTTCCACCATTGAGAAGTAAATGGCACTGTCTTTTTGGCACTCTTCTTCGTAGGAGTGACCTCTTTCAATGAGATTTCTAGATTTCTAGAGATTTCAACAAATATAACAAGCTTCAGAAACACATCTAAGAGAGGAACTGGATAGACACATGATGATTTCTTTTGTTTGGTTTCTTTCGTAATCTAAGCTCAGATCAAAACATATGACTGTCGCAACCATGCCCAGTCATGAGACCACCATGACTCATTAAATCTCAGTACTATAGTGTTGCTGCGTGCATTGCCATAATGTTCTTCAACTTTGGGCATTCAACCGATGGACATTAATCTGGTTGACATCTTTATATGTGGGCTTAACGTGAAAAAGGGGAATTGAACCTAACGAAAAGACAAAAAAAAAAAGGTATGTTTTCAAATTACTCGTATGATACTCGTATCAGTCGTAAACTAAAACAGTAATACAACAAAGTGCTATCAATCTAATGAAATGTTGCAAACTACATAACCAAAAAATCGCCTTTATAAAACTGGGCCTTAACGCCAATAACGAGATTAAAACGACAATGAACAATATAAATATACCAGTGCAGACTATGTTAAAGTACTAAAGTTTCGGTACAAAATTTACAAGAATCTTGGGGGCTGGTTTATAGCCCATTGTTCTTATCTAAATGGTGGGCGTTCGCTTGCATCTGATTCAATTTTGTCTTTTAAATCTTGAATCAATTGAAAATACAGCAATACAACAAAATAACTGTTTGCATGCTTTCGCCCAATAATGGAAAACTAAACTAAGGAAAACAACGTTACAAAGGTACTCGCATATCAGTCCCGCTTGTACCAAAGGTTTAAGAAAACAAAAGGATAAAAGTTCATATACATAGACGACCTTGACGAACACATGGACAGCCCTCTACTGCATAAGTGATACAAAATTCATTATTTAGGCACGTTTCTGCGTTCGTTCAGGAACCCAGGCTAATGGAGGAGTTGCTTTCTTTCAAGAAATCCGTGACGCGTTTCTTTTTTAATGGCAAAGGACTGGATATACATTTGGCTGACCTTTTTTTGTTTAAATATCTTTCCTGCCCGCCGTTCTTTTGCTAAAGGAGTTCTTGAAGCCGTTGCATTTACATCTTTCCGCGGAACACGAACTAACAGAAGTATAGCAAGGGCATTTGGATCATTGTTGGTCCGGCACATCGGTGCATGCACCCTGATATTTTTGTCTCCTTCTCCACACCTACAGCCATCGGGTTTACCATTACTGTTACGAGCGTCATTATTGCAGTTAAAGCATCTGCATCTTTTGGAGCATTGATGACCTTGACGAACACACGGACAGCCCCCTATTGCATTTATGATACAAAATTCATGCATCCTTGACTTGCATGTCATCCACAATGACAAATTAAACTTCCACTTAGTAGCAGCTCTTCGTTATCCTTGACTTCAGCTAAACGCTTGCAAATAAGGCACAACAAAAGTTTCAGTTAGAAACCTATGCTTTGCCTGTGCTTTACTCAAAAACTTACAAAGAACCGATTACAGGGACGCTAAAAGCACCTCAAAACATCATAAAAATTGGCAAATTACATGTTCAGTGAATAAGAAGCCTCACAAAGGCATGCAATTATAACAGAACTTCCTTCTAAACGTGGCCAATCAATGCTTCATACGTAATGATATGGATAGATAATACATCATCAACCTGATTAATTAATTAAATCCAAAAATGTTTTTAGTGCATTATTGTCGACTCTGGAAAATTTTCAGCGTGTGGGCATCTCAGTGACGGTTGTCCATCAACTCTTGGCAGTATTCTCTCTTTAGCTCTAGTTGTTAGCTTTTCTTGTAAGCCTTGTCAAGGCTTTCATTCTCCAGCTTTCCCACTCAAGTCTTCTGAAAGAGTATTTTTTCACTCTCGAGGAGTCTCCACTGTCATTGTCTCTATAGCAGCTTTCCTTGCTACTCATCGCGTCCATCACCAGTATTTTGGCCGCTATTCCCTTTTCATGCTGGTCGGCCCAGTTAACCAGTTGTAGGGCTATAGTGCGTCTCATTAGCTTCTAAATATATAAAGCAAAACAACAAGCATGAGAAAGGTATTCTAGGATTACCAATGGAAAATATGATATAAATTATCAAAATACACCTTGCAGTTAATATTCTTGGGAAGAAGAATTTTCAATTCTAGATTTTGATGCTTAAACCTTTTGGTCTCGTGTAAAATCAACTGATAAACAGAAGTTCAAAGTAATTTAAAGAATTTCTGTCATTGTCTATTTCTACTCTCATACCTACCTCTTTGCTAAAATTTGTCTTGTGGGGGTTGTATAACAGATGTCCACGTCATATTGTCTGCACCCTTTAGGCGGTCTTTTCAAATTGTAACAACTGGCCACAGCCTATCTTTTTTGAGATAATTCATGTGGGGGATCGAGGAGAAAAAAATTATCAAAATACAACATGCAGTTAATGTTCTTGGGAAGAAGAATTTCCAATTCAAGAAAAAGTGGTACACTAGTATACCAGTTGTTAACACCTTTGTTGATATATGGCTCTGTTAGCTTCAAAACAACTCACAGAGCCAAATCTTTGCTTGCTGCTGGACCCTCTTTTCCACTGTAAATAGAAGTGCCAAGTACATAGCCAGATGCTGAACCTGCTATAACAAAACCTTTGATTATAAATCTGCCTCTGTTCAAAGGCAAAAATTGTCTAGAATGAACGTGGCCCTTGAATTTAATCGGTGCCTGGGCACAAGAGCATCTAAAAATGATCTTATTTTCCACAGATTATCTCTGTTAGGTTCAGTCCGATCTGGGGCATTGCAATTATTTGCAATTGAAGATATCTCAGAATATGAAGGCAGCAGTCTCATGACATGGCGTTAGAAAACAGTGGAGTTTTGGAGCCAATTTTGATGCTTAAACCTTTTGGTCTCATGTAAAATCAGCTGATAAACAGAAGTTCAAAGTAATTTAAAGAATTTCTGTTATTGTCTATTTTTACTCTCATATCAACCTCTTTGCTAAAATTTATGTCTTGTGGGGGTTGTATAACAGATGTCCACGTCATATTGAAGTAGTTTTGCTCCTCTTATCGCTGTTGTTAATTTCTCCCTCGCTTTCTTCTCCCTCTTCATCGCTATT